ATCATCAAGAAAAGCTGGCCGAGACTGGGCCGGCGTAGGCGGTTGTAATTTATTGCCGAGTCGGCGTTGAAGCACGCTAATACGACCAGCTCTTCTTCGACAAGGACATCGTCAGCGATATGGCGCTCAACAAAAGTCTAATTCTATGCTCACCACCCACGCCGATGACTCCGTCCTACTCGTATCAGGAAACAAAGTGGCCGAGGGCTTCGAGTACAGGTGATTCGGTCTCGGGTGGCATGCTGGCCTGGATCTCGACGGGCAGGAGATGACGCGCGCAGACCAGCAACCATCAAGACTGAGGGCTCGCTACGGTAGCGTCGTGGGCGACTTCGTTGAGGACGATCACGATCACGACAACTAGCTGGTACGGCAGCTCTGGTATGGGCGTTCGGCGGAGGCTCAAACGTGGGCGGCTTCAGCGGGTCAGACCCTAAGGGAAGGTGCTGCAATTGCTCTTCGCTATCCAGGGACACTACACATACAACAGTCATGGCAAGCGTCGACACAGCGTGTGCCCCCGCAATTAAATGTTGCGATTAGCAATGGGTAATGGAGAGCTATTGTTTGTACATCTTTCAGCGTTCATATACGTACTGGTTCGACTCGGCGTTACTGCTGACTTAGTTTAAAAAAGTGTTGAGAATGTATGAAAGGTATGGCTGAGCTTAGATTTCTTTAACTGGTACGACTAAAATGCTCCTTGGTCTACAGAGCGAGCCATGAATACTGTATCTTCCTGGTGGGCACGCTACGCTAACGGACACCACGTGTGTGTTATATTCTGCTTGGCGCATTAGCTCGGAAGTTTGCTGCATTGCGGGTGCGGCATCCGCAATGCAGCAAATCTTGCAGGACATGTCCTGCAAAAGCACTACAGATTGACTTTGCCAAGCTTGTGCCAATAATACTAGATTTTGTGTAGGATTTGACGCCGGGATGTTTCGATTTGGAAAATACAGGACATTCCGTCCTGCGCTTATGCTCGTGAGCCAGATCGATGTCCTGCAAAATCTGGAGAATGATTCTTGAACGGATTTTACAGGACATTACCAGGACACACAAAATTGTAGTATTTTGTCCAATCAGAATTAAATTAACATAGCATCGCAGTTTTGCCTGTGTTTGGCCTCACTGCAACAGCAAACATGCCATAGGCTGCCCCACCTGCACAATAGTATAACTTTACCTCTTCATCATCAAGAAAAGCTGGCCGAGACTGGGCCGGCGTAGGCGGTTGTAATTTATTGCCGAGTCGGCGTTGAAGCACGCTAATACGACCAGCTCTTCTTCGACAAGGACATCGTCAGCGATATGGCGCTCAACAAAAGTCTAATTCTATGCTCACCACCCACGCCGATGACTCCGTCCTACTCGTATCAGGAAACAAAGTGGCCGAGGGCTTCGAGTACAGGTGATTCGGTCTCGGGTGGCATGCTGGCCTGGATCTCGACGGGCAGGAGATGACGCGCGCAGACCAGCAACCATCAAGACTGAGGGCTCGCTACGGTAGCGTCGTGGGCGACTTCGTTGAGGACGATCACGATCACGACAACTAGCTGGTACGGCAGCTCTGGTATGGGCGTTCGGCGGAGGCTCAAACGTGGGCGGCTTCAGTGGGTCAGACCCTAAGGGAAGGTGCTGCAATTGCTCTTCGCTATCCAGGGACACTACACATACAACAGTCATGGCAAGCGTCGACACAGCGTGTGCCCCCGCAATTAAATGCTGCGATTAGCAATGGGTAATGGAGAGCTATTGTTTGTACATCTTTCAGCGTTCATATACGTACTGGTTCGACTCGGCGTTACTGCTGACTTAGTTAAAAAAAAAAAAGGTGTTGAGAATGTATGAAAGGTATGGTTGAGCTTAGATTTCTTTAACTGGTACGACTAAAATGCTCCTTGGTCTACAAAGCGAGCCATGAATACTGTATCTTCCTGGTGGGCACGCTACGCTAACGGACACCACGTGTGTGTTATATTCTGCTTGGCGCATTAGCTCGGAAGTTTGCTGCATTGCGGGTGCGGCATCCGCAATGCAGCAAATCTTGCAGGACATGTTGTCCTGCAAAAGCACTAAAGATTGACTTTGCCAAGCTTGTGCCAATAATACTAGATTTTGTGTAGGATTTGACGCCGGGATGTTTCGATTTGGAAAATACAGGACATTCCGTCCTGCGCTTATGCTCGTGAGCCAGATCGATGTCCTGCAAAATCTGGAGAATGTAAGTTTACTGTAGGGTCCACTGCTCATATGACCGTCATCACCCCAGTTGGTGTCCTCCTCACTGCTCAAAGGACGACCACCGCGATTTCCTCGGTACCAGCAGTAAGGTTTCGCAGAAGAGCAAACAGGGGTTGTCGTGAAGTTACATTGTAGGTTCACCTCAAATCACTGAAGGATTGGCTCGTTTTGTGCAAGTGTCAATGCAAACTAGATTGTGGCCTGCTGGCAGTAGCATTGCCGGTGGCCTTAACAAGCGTATAGTAGAATGTACACGAAGTAGAACGCCCCCTTGTAGTTCAGTTGGCCTAGGTGCATGAAATAAGGCGTTCTTCCGACCAGGAGTTGAGTTTTACTCATAGAGAGCGGTAAGCAGCGCGCGGAAGATTGACTGTACAGCGTGGACTCACGCAGCCTCTACCTGCTGTCGGAGTCTGAGTCAGACTCTTACAGACGAACGACATGCACATCAGGCAGATGGTTGGGACGAAGAGAACCAAAGCTTGAGTAAGCTGACCGTGCACATCCGAGTTTAATCCCGAAGTTCCAGTTGTACACTTTGGAGCTTTAAGTGCTGCGTTGCCAAGTGGTGGGGAAGGGGGAAATGGTCACGAGTTGAAACTTTGCGAGGAGACGAAGAGGATCAAAACGCGCCGCCTCCATGCAGAGAAATTGAGTACCAGCCAGTGGTTTCCGTACATGAGGTATTACGGAGAGCGCCTCGTATTCAAGCCCCCTCGGAGCTGTGAGCTGCTCACTATTCAATCTTCCGCATCACACCAACACCTGAAACGATGCAGATCTTCGCTCCTCTCGTGGCCCTCATCGCTCTTGCGTCGGGAGTTCTGGCCGACGGCGCGTGCAGCGGCCCCAACGCGCGCACCACGCCGCCCAATGGCGCCATCGTCGTCGACGCCACGGGCTCGTACAAGGGCAGCTACAAGACCGTGTCGGAGGGCGTGGCCAAGCTCAACCCCAAGAAGAAGTCGGTGCAGACGGTGTTCGTGCGCCCGGGCGTCTACAACGAGCAGGTGCTCATCTCGCCGCTGCGTGGTCCGCTGGTGCTGCAGGGCTACACGTGCGACGCCAAGAACTACGCTAGCAACCAGGTGACTATCACCCAGGCCAAGGCCCAGAAGGACATTCCTGCCTCGGTCAAGGGCGAGTCCCGTAACGACATGACCAGCACGATCCGCTTCAAGTCGGACAAGGTCAAGGTGTACAACCTCAACATCGCCAACACGGCCGGCGACGTCGGCCAGGCCCTGGCCGTCAACGTGAACGCCACGGACTACGGCTTCTACGCGTGCAACCTGACTGGATACCAGGACACCGTCCTGGCCGACAAGGGAAAGGAGCTGTACGCCAAGACGTACATCAACGGCGCCACCGACTTCGTCTTCGGCCGCTACGCGCAGGCCTGGTTCGAGTCGTGCGACATCGAGACCATCGGCACGGGCTTCATCACGGCCAGCGGCCGCGGAGCCGCCAACAGCTCGGCCACGTACGTCTTCAACCGCGCGCGCGTGTTCGGCAAAAGCGGCGTCAACTCGACCGTCCTGGGCCGCCCGTGGCGCCCGTACGCCAAGGTCATCTGGCAGAACAGCGAGCTGGGCGACGTGGTCAAGCCCCAGGGCTGGGCCACTTGGGACGCCACCTCCAGCACTGCCGACATCGTCTTCAAGGAGTTCAACAACTCGGGCCCCGGCGCCGTCAAGGGCAGCCGAGTGGCGTTCAGCGGCCAGCTCGACAAGCCCGTGGCGATCACCGAGGTCCTCGGCCTGAACTACGCCAAGGAGTGGTTCGTCGACACCTCGTACCTGTAAACGAATCTACGAGTGGGGGATGCATAGAGTGCTAGGGTAGTATTCCAGAAGCACGTTCATAATAACATCGATGTGAGAGTGACAAGAATACAATCGTCTTTTAAAAAAAGTTGAGTATCAAGAACGATGAAACTGTAAAAAGCGCTTACATGCACGTATATGCACTTCCAAGAGAAGCTCGAAGCAGCCAAACTTTTTTAATCACATCGTAGAACACTCATGCCAAACCACACGGCGCACTCGTCCACTGCTGTTTGTCACGAATATCTTATCTCCAAACTGAAGTAGTATCCAGAAGTGTCCATCGTTTTAAATTAGTGTTCACTAAATTGTTTTTTTACGCCGGCACCCTATTACAGTTAGAGGCGCTCGCATGCTATTATCTACCTACATGTGCCGGTAGTACCATTGCCACGCTGCCGGTCACTGCTAGTGCACCGCGAGCCACGTTGCCAAACGAGATTCCGATGGTTACGCGTGACTTATCAGCGAACTTGACCACCTTGAACACTGAAAAGCTGAAGTTGCCACTCGACCAACGACTGCGACAACATTGCAGCGAAGACATGGCCGCCCCTCAAATTTTCGTCTTATGCCAACAGAGCTTCTCCAATTGTCTGTGCAGCCACACCGTCGCCGCAAGCTGCTCGTCCAGCAGCCAGCTCCTGTCGACTCGACAGCGCGAGAGCGGGTCGCGACGTCGCCAAAACAAGCAGCTGTCGTGCGATCGTGGGAGAGGTAGCGTCCGTCCCGCAATAACTAGTGCACGCAGCACGACAAAACTCACGTTTTCCCCACGTAAACTTGGTTTCACTATAGCGACAAAAAAAAACAATTTGGAACGGCCCTTATATTGCGGACCCTTGCTGTTCATCACCTCGGTCCGCCGTCCATTCGGCCTTTGGGATCAACTGAGACGCTGCGCTACGACGGACCTGGGGCATGAAGATGGAGCGCGGCCCGAGCTACGCCGAGTACGAGGACGGCACCCCGCTGAACGCGCCCGTGGGCACGCAGTCGTCCAGCTCCGAGAGCCCCGCCAAGCGTGTGGACATGCCCACGACCACGGGCCGCATCATGGACCGCAAGGACGCGCTCTTCCAGCGCTCCAAGGGCCAGTGGAAGTGCGTGGCAATACGTAGGATACATGCGTAGGTCAAAGGTTGGTACTTATGTGATTTGTGTGACTGTGCTGCAGCATCCGCCGCCAAAAGGTGCCCCACTACTGGAAGCTCTACATGCAGGACCCGTTCCACTCGGTCGTCAACATGCGACTCAGCAAAGTGCTGGGCTCGCTCGTTTTTTCCGTACGCACTTATATATTGCTATTTTGTATATTGTTTTGGTAGTGGAGGCTTATGGCTGGTACTGCTGTCTTGTGTGCTGCAGTATCTTGTGGTGATCACCGTGTTCGGCGCGCTGTACACGACGCCGCCCGAGGAGTGCAAGCTGGCCATCAACTCGTTCTTCGACGGCTTCTCCTTCTCCGTGTCCGTGCTGTTTACTATCGGTTTCGGCACCAACGGCGGAGACGTGTTCTTCGGCGACTGTGTCTGGGTGCAGACCATCATCACGCTCGAGTCTCTGTTCGGCATCTTGCTGGACGCGCTGGCCATCGGCATCATCTTCCAGCGCTTCTCGCGCGCGCAGGCGCGTGCCAACACCATCGTGATGAGCACCCACGCCTGCGTGCGCCGCATCCGCGGCAACCTGTACTTCATGTTCCAGGTGTGCGAGATGCGCAAGCACCAGCTCGTCGAAGCCCACGTGCGCATGTACGCGATTCGCCACGACGTCGAGTTCGGCGAGCACTACTACTTCCAGTCGTACCCGATGCGCATCCAGCACCCGGACGACGACCTTGGCGGTATGCTGCTGCTGGCGCTGCCCTCGGTTGTCGTGCACCGCATGGACGCCTGGAGTCCGCTGCTGCGCCCAAAGAGCGCCGAGACCTGCGGCTTGCACCACAACCCTGCGCGCGGCTACTTGTTCCCGGAGCCGCTGTGCCGTGAGGCCGATGCCCAGAGTGGAGACCGCGATGGGTCCGTGCAGGTCAACCAGGCTACCAACCACGTGCACAACACGTGCCGCTGCATGACTGGGAACGCTGCTATGGGTGACGTGCACGCTGCCACGCAGCCGCCGACGATCGAGGAGATCAAGCAGTACTGGGCCGAGTCGCAGGTACGACGACGACCCGCATTGAGTTGTTTATCGTGGCCGCCCTTTTAACGTGTTTTTGCCTGTCGTATCTGCAGTTGGAGGTGGTGGTGCTTGTGGAAGGTATCGACGCGGTCACGTCGGCTACGATCCAAGTGCGGCACTCATACAAGGCGGAGGACATTTTGTTCAACCACCGCCACGTGAACTGCGTGGACGTGGACCCGGAGACTGGCGGTGCGGTGATCGACTTCCGTCGCTTCCACGAGACCAAGCCTGTTGACCCGGAGTGCAACAAGGTGGCTGGCAGTTTCTACTAACCGCGGCTGATCTTCGACATACAGAAAGAGAGCAAGCGAGAGAGGAGATAGCGCCGTGTACCGATAATTCCATACTTTTAGACGACCACCCTCCATACGAGATGAGCTGCTCTACATGACAGTACTTCGATCATACGTGGGAGTTGAGGATTTGACGGTGAGACTGTGGTGTTTTGGAGATCACGAGGTGGCTCAAGGAATCGACTTCCAGCTTTTAGATGGATCAACAGCGAAGAAGAAAAACGAATTGTGCTGCTGCCGTGGATGTTTGGCCTTCTCGTTTAAGGTAACAACGCGTCTTTTGACCAGCTTTCCCTGTTGCTCTTGTTGCTCTACAGGGGGCCCCAGCCTTGATGCACCCTCATCTCCACTTTCAGCGTGTGGAAGTTCATCCAGGTAAATCCCTGTGGGAGCACTGCCCCAGGAAGGAATCGAAAAGGACCGAAGCTGGCGTCTGGCTCGAGATAGGCTAAGAGATCATTAGTTTCGTCCGGCAATGTCGGACGTCTATCGATATAGGCCGCTCCACGATGCGCCAAGTGAGTTCTGCCAGTCCCAGTTGCGTCGGTAATCGCTTGTCGGACGTCTTCAACGAGCAGCTCGTGCAGAGCCCCCGACAACTCGACAATGAAGACCTTGTCGTCCCATCACGCCATGTTGCGAGACTTTAAGCGCTTGCTCCTCGGACTGGACGTAGCGGTTCCAGTCGTCTCGGGTCGCCGCACACAGCTCGAAGGGGGCCCCATCGCTGCCGTCTGGAGGGTTTAGCACGTTCTTCACGAGATCCCAATCCACGCTCCACACGGCGTCATTGATGCGGCGCATACTCGAGCTCGCGAGTGCCTCGCCAGAAATCGCCACACGCCGTCCCAGACAAGTCCGGATAGAGGGAATGTGACACCGAACGACCGGTAACATCGCTAACAAGGTCCACGTTGGTGCGGTGAAGATACTTTTGAAGAATGATCGACCATCGACTTGACCAACAAAGGCGGTATCCATAGGATAGGTCCGCGCTGATGGCCGCTTCCTACCAATGGTCCATGATGCTAGCGTGGACACGAAAGCTTCCCAATGGGAAAATTGCCTAGTGATTGCTACAATGTCCAGCCATTGCGAGGTGGTGAAGTTTGCTCGTGGAGCGCAGTGCATCTATTGACGAGGCCAACGATGCCGCCGCGACCCCACCATCAATTGCAGCTCAGAACGGCTATACTGATGTGGTGGAGTTGTTCCTAATATGCAGATATCAACCAGCCAAACGACAGTGGAGCGACTGTTTTGCAGTGTTAACGAAACAACGGACTACGACCGGACTTCTCACTTAGAAAAGGGTCACACCGCTGTCGTAGAATTCTTAGCATCGCGAGGCATATCGTGTGTGACGACGGCACCAGTGGATGTAGCCATGTACGGATACTAAGGTGCATGGCAGGATCAAGTTGCAGGAACGAGCGGCGTCATCTTGTGCGGATGGATGACTTGGTGCCTATCCGTTCTGTATCTGATTGGTAGAAAGGTAAGCCAATAGGAGGTCAGTGTAGGTACGACTCACCGTAGGTATAGTGAAACCAAGTTAAAATAGATATGCAGATGTAGGGCGGCTGTGGAGGCTTCGCGAAGCTTCCATCCGCCTGAACTGCGGGGGCGGCACTCTTAGTTCCGCACGCCCTCCCCCAAGACAGCACTTCTTCCTGTTAAACTGGTAGAACTTGTTGGTCCCAGCAACCTGACTACAAGAAGCCCATGCCGACGAACGCCCAGCTACGAGCCGAGATCGACCGGCTGAATCAAGCGATGGCAGAGCGCACGCGAGTGCCCACCAATCTGCCCAAGTTCACCGGCAAGCGGGGGGAAGACGTTCGCGAAGGGCTGTTCCAGATCGAGAACGCCTGTCGCATCAACGGAATCCAAATCGAAGACGCGAGCGCGCGTCTGCCGGGTATCGCCGGGTCGGCGATGGAAAAGCCGGCCTCAGGATGGTTCCTGCACTGGTCATCGACGACGAGAAGTGAGGAGCACACGTGGGGGATTTTCCGTGAGCATGTGCTCCAACACTTCGAAGCTTCGAACTACCAGGCCGTCTTGCGAGAAAAGCTGCAGCGACTCAAGCAAACGGCGGACATCGAGACCTACAACGGCGAGTACGCTGCTCTTATCTTCCGAGTTGAGGGCATGAGTGTACTTGACCAGGTACTAAGCTACACAAACGGTCTCAAGCCTCGTACCCGTAGCTACGTCAAGCTCGAGAACCCAGAGACGCTGAGCGCGGCTATGGACCTGGCGATCAAGTACGAAGTTACGCACTTTGTGGACGACATGCGCGACCGCCAGTCCCGCCAAGACAAGAGGAAGATCTTCGCTGATCAATCTCCCAAGCAAGACATACCATTCAAAGGGAAACCTTTCCGCGGCAAGGAACGGTTCAAGCCGAGGTCTGACTCCAAGCGTACTGAAGGCCGCACCTGCTATCACTGCAAGAAGCCTGGCCACATCAAGGCCAACTGCTTCCTCTGGAAGAAGGAGCAAGAGAAGCAGGGAAACGAGCAACCACGTCAGTGAATGAGGGTCCTGGTGTGGGCGAGAGCGTAACCGGGACACCAAAGATTGAGAATATCAGCTTGAACGTTCTGTGCGAAAACCCTCTGGTCTACAAGTCACGTCCACTGTTCTCCGTAACAGGTGAAATCAGTGTTGGTGACAAGTGTCTCGCGACACGAAGCATGTTGTTGGACTGTGGAGCCACCACGATCTACGTATCCAAGCGTTGGGTCGAGGAGCACCAGCTTCAGACAACCAAGTTCAGCGACAAGAACATTCGTGTCAAGCTGGGAGACAACCAAATTGTCGAGGCGGAGCTTGAAGTTCTGCTGATAGAGATTCTGGTCTCGAGGCTGGACGACGCCTACAAGTGTGTGGCAGTCGTCTACCCGATTCCAGACGAATTCGATTGCATTCTTGGAATACCATTCTTCGAAGACATGCAACCACATATTGACTGGAGAGGTCGACGAATCGAAGGAACGAGAACGAGGACTCTGCACTGGAAGCGAACAGGGAAGACCTGTGAGCCGATCGAGGAAGGCGGACCGGTGGTTACCTCCGGGCTTCGGAGATCTGTCGAGGCGAAAGGCCTGTCGGCGAAAAGACCCGATTCCTGTCGAGGTGCCGCGCTGGAAACGGATGTGAAGCTCACGGTAGAAGCTGTTGGTGACGCAGTGCAGAAGAAATCCCCAAGTGTTATCCGCGGACGACATGATGACGCGCAAGCTGGCAAGAGTTCAGCTGGAGACGACGACGTTGCGACGTCTGAGCGCGAGAGTACTGTAGTCGAGGCTGATGGAAGCAGCAGTGCCAGGGGTGGAGACAACGCCGTGGAGAAGATGTTCGCGATGGGAGTTGTCGACGAGAGTGGTATACAGACCAAATACAGCACGCGCAAGAAGTTGCGGAAGTTCCTGAGAATCAAGACCAAGACGAGCGACGAGCCTGAGTTCATGTTGGTGCTATCGAACGAGACGATCAAGCAAGTTGCACGTTCACTGCAACTCCGAGATCAGCCCGACAACGTTGGGAGTGCGAAAGCACAACGCTATCTGGAGACAGACTGGGACACCTTCCGAGAGAATCCAGCTTTCAATCTTCTCATGGAGTATAAGGACAACGTGTTTCGTCCAGAACTACCCGAAGGTTTACCAGAGAAGCGTACCGGATCGATGTGAAGGATCCAAATATGGCGATGTACCGGCAGCAGTGGCGACAGTCGCCGGAGCAGCAGCGTGAAATCGTGCGCTGGGTCGAAGACATGGTAAAGAAGAAGCTCATTCGACCAAGCATCAGTCCCCACGCAGCCCCAACATTCTGTGTCCGGAAACCAGTTGGCTGGAGAATTGTTCACGACTACCGGTACTTGAATTCGAACACCGTGCGTCAAAGTATCCCGATGACGAGGAAGGAAGATATCCTCGACACCATGTCCGGTGCGTACTGGTTCTCCACGATGGACCTGATGTCCGCGTACTACCAAGTGCGCATGCGGGAAGAAGACATCAAGTTTACCGCATTCCAAGCGCCGAACGGTCTCTGGGAGTATCTCGTTCTTCCAATGGGAGTTTGCAACGCGCCAGCAACGATGCACAGATTGACATCGAAGCTCTTTCGAGACTTGAAGAACACGAAGTCGTTCTACGATGACATCTATGTTCTCACCAAGTCACCGAAGATCGAGGACCATCTGGACGCACTGCGGAAAACACTTGACATCTTGCGTGATAACAAGTTGTACGTCAAGCTGTCCAAGTATGTCTTCTGCTCCGACGAGATCCCGTGTCTCGGAGATTTCGTGGGCGAAATGGAGTTCGGATGGATCCAGACAAGGTGCAGACCATCAAGGACTGGCCTGTACCACGGACGCAAGAAGAGCTTCACAGCTTCCTTGGCTTGACAGGTTACGTCCAGCGATTCTGTCCAGAGTACGCATCTCTGACAGCCTCCATGTTTGCGCTCTTGAAGAAGAAGAACAAGCGGAACGCCAAGATTCATCTCAGCGACGAGCAGCTGAAGAACTTCAAGGAGTTGAAGCGGCGACTGTGCAACCCGCCAGTATTGCACTTGCCGGATTTCAGCAGCCCCATGCATCTGCGTACCGACGCAAGCAAGTTTGCTGTCGGTGGAGTCGTTTTTCAAGTGGTGGACGGAGTTGAGCGCCCGATAGCGTACACAAACCGGAAGATGAAGTCAGCGGAGCTCAACTATCCGACTCAGCAGCAGGAACTACTAGCGATCGTTCATGCGCTGGCAGCGTTTCGTATCTACTGCCTGGACAAACCACCCATCGTCGAGACAGATCACAAAAGTCTCGAAGGACTGTTCACCCAGAAGATGGCCAACCGTCGACTCGCTCGCTGGTACGACATCCTTGCGGAATACCAGCCGACGTTCTCGTACCTTCCCGGTGCGAAGAATGGCATCGCAGACGCGTTAAGTCGAAGGTCAGACTTACAACCGGAGACGAAGTTCTTCCACGACTTACGGATGACCAGCAATCCTTCAGCCTCGCGATCAGCGAAGTAACGGGTGACTCGGAGCTGATTACGCGCATCAAGAAAGCGTACAAGAAAGATCGTGATGTCCAAGCAATCTTGACAGCAATCAAGCGACGCAAATCCGACTCAAAACCAAAGCGCGAACACCAGCAGCACAAGAAATACCGCTTCTACTCCGAAGCGAACGGGTTACTGTGGTATCAAACGCCTGCAGATGACGCTCCACGGATTGTCGTGCCCAACGATGTGAAGTTGCGACAGACAATTATCCTCGAGTGTCACGACACCAACTACGGAGGCCATCCCGGTGCGGAACGTACGTACTTGATACTGGCGCGCCATTGGTACTGGTCAAAGATGTTGAAGTCCATCCAGAAGTTTGTCGCCGACTGTGAGCCTTGTCGGAGGAACAAGCCGCGGTTGACGAAACCTCCTGGGTTGCTCGAGCCACTTAGTATCCCAGACGAGCGTTGGAGATCCATCTCCGTGGACTTCAGCACTGATCTGCCGCGAACGGAGCGGGGCGTCGACTCTATCTGGGTCGTCGTCGATCGGTTGACCAAGCGGTGTCATTTCGTGCCAACCACCAAGAAGGTGAACGCCGAAGGTGTTGCTCGACTCTTCATCGACAACATCTGGAAGTTACACGGCATGCCGACGAATATCGTCTCCGACCGCGACAGGAAGTTCGTGTCCGCCTTCTGGCAGCATGTCTTCAAGTCCATCGGGACGAAGCTAAGCATGACCGTTGCACATCGCGCTCAAGGTGACGGACAAACGGAGCGCATGAACCGAACCTTGGAAGAGTATCTTCGGTGCTTCGTCGGTCCACTTCAAGATGATTGGGACGTCCATCTCGCCAACGCTGAGTTCGCTGTCAACTCAACTGTCAACTCCAGCACGAAGCTTGCGCCGTTCGAAGCCGATCTGGGCTAAATTCCGCTGAATCCACTTCAACTTGCATCCGAGCAACTTGAGAGTGTCCCCAAGAGTCGCCGCGGAGCAGAGTTTCACAAGCGACAGGCGGCGATTCTCTTACGCTGTCGCGAAGCGTTAGCTCAGGCCCAAGAACGGATGCGCGACGTCTACGACCGAAACCGTGTTGAGCAGATCTTCGAAGTTGGTGACAGGGTATACTTGAGCACGCAGAATCTGAACCCGAAGCACTCCGGCTTGCCCAACTCCACCAAGTTCGGACCCAAGTGGATTGGACCGTACACCGTGGTGCGGAAGATTCATATCCACGCGTACGAGCTCAACATCCAGGCTGGCAACAAACTGCATCCCGTCTTCAACACTGCGTCATTGAAGCCGTACAAGGAGCTGACTCGCTTGTCGAGGCCAAGCGACGTAATCTTAGCGGACGGCAGCATTGGCCAGATCGTCAAGGCATTACGTGGAAAGCGAACGCAAAAACGGCGGATCCAATATCTTGTGGAGTGGGTGGGCGAGGAGAAACAAACCTGGGAACCAGTGGAGAACTTGTCGCAAGTCCCAGATCGCATCGCAGAATTTGAATCTGCAAGGCGAAAGAAGCGTCGAAAACGGTGAAGCAGGATCAGCTGAAGGGGGGCTCAAAGGCCTACATGTATTCCCGTATTACATCCCCTCTTGTTGCAGAACCTGCTGCTTCATGCGTTTCTCCCGCTTTTTCTGCGTCTTCGACTTGCGCTTGCCGTGACGACACTTGTATCCTGGTTGCAGCTCCACTTGCGCCATCCATTTCACGTGCTGAATCCACTGCTGGTAACTCAGAGGAAGAACGTCCACCGGCGGGTTCTTGCGGGCATTGAAATTGTCAAGAGCCAGAAGTTGCTTCTCCGGACCACGGTTAACCACGACAAAGCAGTGCCCGACATCATTGCGGCCAGCGCTGACGACGTAAACACCGGGTGCTTGTTTGCGGCAAACACCTTGGAGCGTCGTGATGTTGGCACTTGACTCTGGAAGAGCGTTTCGGAGAAGGACGTCGTAGTTCAGTGGCACACTCTTGCGCTGCAGAACTTTGAAGAACTCCGTCATGTCGTCGCGAGACACACCGTACTGGATGGCTTCAGGTCGCGTGTCTTCATACGCATCCCACATCTCCATTGTGACTAGATTCGGCTGTCCGAGATAGTACAAGGCCGAGCGGAAAGCATCCATGAAACAAGTACCAGCCTCCGACGCGGAATCACGCTCCGAGTACCAATAACAGAAGGTGCGCTTGTCTCCCGATTCCTTCCAAGCGTCCACCATCCTCATCATGTAGCGCGTCGACGGTTTGTCGAGCTGCTCCATCCAGACCCAGCTTAGCTGTAGCGGATTGTCTTCCCATTCCACCAAGTAGCAACGGTGCGGAGCCTTGCCCCTGACATCCAAGGCACGGACGATGTCAACCTCAGTGTTGTAATCCCAAGGCTTCTTCGGGTCGTATGGTTCTTGCGGTTGTTCGACGGGTGCTTTTTGGGCGCCGGAGGAAGCGGCATCGGATGCCACGTCGAAGTCTCGTCACCGCGACGCAAGCGCGAGCGGTCAACCTGAGGCAGGCCTTCATCGTCGTCACTATCATCGAAAAGCCCGGATTCATCTTCAGGCGAGGCCTCAAAGGTCGCCCCAAGCGCAGGCTCAGCAGCTATCGCCTGCTCGACAGACAACCCTTCCACATCGAGCATGAAGATCAACTCCTGGAGGCGCGTAGGTGGAGAAAAACCACCAGCCAAAGCAACAACCTCACGCGGCGCTGGCGACGCAGGCGGTGGCGCCGGGGACGCCGAGCCCGAATCTGGAGAGCCAAGACCGGGAGAGCGACTGGTGAGCTCTAATTCTTCCCACACACGCACCATCTCTTCGTCAAGACCGGAGTCAGCATCGCTGTCTTCACCAGCAGCGGCCACAACATCGACAATCTGCGCGAGCGCGGCGGCGCATTCAGAGTCTGCCGGCGCGGCTGGCGTGGCGGCGCCAGGCGGAAGCATGGACGGACCATCGAGATTTGCGGTCGCCAGAGGCGACGCAGACGGCGGAGCCTCAACATCATGATCAGCCGTCGCTGGAGGCGAGGCAGAACGCGCGGAAGCAGGAGACTGCATTCCGGCAGCAGTAGAAGCCGCTAGCGACACAACTATCAGCCCAAGGAACCAATCCAAGCCTCCAACAACCAGGCCGAGGCGAAGGCGAAGCGAGGTCGGACTAATTCCTCAGGCGACAGCCGGAAGCGTCGCGGTTCTCTGTCTTTTTCGGGAATGACAAGTCGGAAGGGCGCGCAGCCAGAGAAGGGGTGAGTGTATCTGATTGGTAGAAAGGTAAGCCAATAGGAGGTCAGTGTAGGTACGACTCACCGTAGGTATAGTGAAACCAAGTTAAAATAGATATGCAGATGTAGGGCGGCTGTGGAGGCTTCGCGAAGCTTCCATCCGCCTGAACTGCGGGTTAGTTCCGCACGTCCTCCCCCAAGACAGCACTTCTTCCTGTTAAACGTTCAGTAAGAATAACATCGACAAACTACACTGCAGTTCAGCTTGAACCCAGTGCGCACGGATGGATGACTTGGTGCCTATCCGTTCAGTTCCGTTCAGTAAGAATAACATCGACAAACTACACTGCAGTTCAGCTTGAACCCAGTGCGCACGAAAACTCACGACGAAAGGCCCATCCGGACATTTGGATACTCGCACGACTCAGTATTTGATTCCCCACAGAGTAGCAACATCGAACAGGAGGCACGGAGGTGACGAAAAGTAGATTTCAACAATTGCGATATGCCCGCCCTTAGCGCAGAGTGCGCCCAACGTCCTGACAATCAGCGAGAAAGCGAAGCTGAGTCAGCCGCTCACCACAATGCGGATGCTGGCAATTCTTCCGGGTTGAAGCGAAGTAGCTCAAGTATTCTGCGACTCGCGTGCGATAGTGGAGAACTTGCAGGTCACAATGGAGAAATTAACCAACGAAATCGAGATGCCCCACCTTTAGCGACGAAGACTGTCTCCAAGCCTCTGCTAGAGAACGAGGTTACTGAAGACAAGGAAGTCCTTGCTGGGAGCTTGCGAACGGCGTGTAAAGGTGGCCACCTCGATACAGCTCGTGAGCTGATCGAAGCAGGCGCACCCATCAACTCGCAGGACGAAGATGGCGATAGCGCGTTAATGGAGGCCGCAAGCAATGGACATGCCCATATCGTGGAGTTGCTTCTAGACAATCAAGCGTCCACGGACTTGGTGAACCGCTGCTGCGCGACCGCCTTGATGATCGCTTCACAGAATGGACACAATAATGTGGTGCGGGTGTTGCTGCAGAAGACAGAGCGAATGGACCAGCCAGGTCCGAACGGAGCATCGGCTCTGCTTGTTGCATGTCAGCGAGGGCACGTCGATATCGCCCGAACTCTGATCGCTGGTGGCGCATACATCGACTTTCGGGACGTTGATGGGGAAGGAGCGCTACTGGCAGCTTCTGGCAACGGCCACCTGAGTGTCGTGGAGCTGCTCTTGCTCAATGGGGCAGCTACCAACCTAGCGCGCAATGACGGGTGGACCCCGCTGATGGCTGCTGTGCAAAATGGACATGAAGATGTGGTAAAGCTGCTGCTAAAAAGTGGAGTACAGGTCAATCAGCAGCGTCCCAACGGAAACACAGCATTGTTCTCGGCGTGCCAACACGAACGCATCGGCATTGCTCGAGCTCTGATTGAAGCTGGCGCATCTATTGACATACAGCTCACTAGTGGAAACAGTGCGTTAGTGGAGGCTGCTATGGGCGGAAGCATTGGCATTGTGGAGCTGCTTGTGGGTAACCAAGCGTCCGTCAACTTGGCGAACCGCTTCGGCGGCACCGCGCTCATGGCAGCTTCGCAGAATGGGCACACGGACGTGGTGCATGTGCTGCTGCGAAACGGAGCACGAATTGATCAGCGCGGTCCGAACGAAATCACTGCTCTACGTTATGCGTGCGAATATGGACACCCTGAAACTGCACAAGTTCTGATAGCTGGTGGCGCGTCTATCGACTCCCAGGATAATGACGGGGGCACTGCGTTGATGGCAGCTTCAGGTAAGGGCCAATCCGACGTAGTGGAGTTACTTCTGCGGAATGGAGCGTCAATTGACTGGGCTGACCCCAATGGCAGGACGGCGCTGACGATCGCATCACGGAATGGCCACACGAGGGTGGTCCGTGTATTGCTGCAGTACGGAGCACGAATCGATCACCGTGGTTCGAATGGAGCGACAGCTCTAGTGATTGCGTGTCAACTGGGCCATCTTGATACCGCCCGAGCTTTGATTGACGGTGGTGCAGCCGTCGACTCGCAGGACTGCGACGGTGACACGCTCTTGGTTTGGGCGGCGACAAAAGGCGATAGCTCGGTTGTCCAAGTTTTGATCGAAAAGGATGCATTAGTTGACTTTCAATCCAAGTCCGGCTGGAGCGCGTTAATGAAGGCAACGGAAAGGGGGCATTTCGACGTGGTGGTGGCGCTTTTGAAAAGTGGTGCGCGAATCGATGCCCAGGGGCCTAATGGGGCAACGGCGCTGAACATTGCGTGTGAGCACGACCAGCTGAAGATTGTTGTGATGCTCGTAAACCATGGAGCCGACCTTGAATTGGCGGATAACGCAGGTTATACCCCTTTGATCACAGCAGCACAACTGGGCCACTCGGATGTGGTGCAGTTTTTACTTTCGAGAGGTGCGAATATCAATGCACTGCTGCCTAGCGGGGGTACAGCTCTGCTGACTGCGGTTTGGTACAGACGACTGGCTGTGGTTCGGATTCTTCTCGATAGTGGAGCAGACTTCACGGTGTGTGGAGACTTCCAAAACTTGCCAGTGTTGACTGTATCGTACATGAGCGGCTACATCGAGTTTACGCAGCTGATCTACGAACGAATTGGACCAATTTTCAGTTCTTCGGTCGAGCAACGTGGGCTTCATGTCGACGGTGAAGAGGAGGGAAATATTACGGCTGTCAACTCTGCCATTGACGAGAAACTCCGCAATGGAGACACAGCTCTTCGAATTGCGTGTGAGCAAGGCGATTTGGTGGTAGTGAAAAGGTTGTTGAAACATCGTGACGATATCGACAAAACCGATGCAAGAGGCTGGACCCCACTGATGAGTGCGGCAAGATATGGCCACGCTACCGTGGTCAAACTCCTGCTCGATGAAAGAGCTGGCGTCAATATTCTCAACCCAGACGGGCAAAGTGCACTATCTGTCGCGTGCCAATATGGCCATCTTGACATCGCACAATGCCTCATTCAGGCTGGCGCCACGATCGACTTGACGCATAACTCCCCACTACTCTATGCAGCCGCAAACGGGTTTAGCACTGTGGCGGAGCTGCTGCTGAGCAATCGAGCTTCGATCGACATGGCAACAAACGATGGCCGGACCCCTCTGATGCTGGCTTCGCTATACGGGCGAGCAAACGTGGTGCAAGTGTTGCTGCATTATGAAGCATCGGTCGACGATCAGTGCTCGAATGGCACAACAGCTCTAATGCTTGCGTGTGCAAACGAGCATATCGAAACGGTACGAGCTCTGATCGACGGAGGTGCATCCGTCAACTTGCAGGCGAAAGACGGGGAGAGTGCGGTGATGCTAGCCTCGAGACAGGGTCATGTCGCCATTGTGGAGCTTCTTTTGAGCAATGGAGCGACCACCAACCTGGTCAATAGCAACGGGGAGACCGCGCTGATGGACGCAACGCATAAAGGACACACAGAGGTTGTACAAGTATTGCTGCGAAATGGAGCACGAGTAGATCAGCAGCGTCCGGACGGAGTCACTGCGCTGCTTCTTGCCTGTGGACCAGGGCACCTTGACACCGCTCGGGCGTTACTAGGAGGCGGTGCGTCTATCAACTTGGAGAATGAAAATGGCATTAGTGCGTTGGGGTTGGCTTCGCACTGGGGCCACATCGAATTTGTTCAGCTGCTGCTGAACAATCAAGCGGGCGTCAATTTGACTAGCAAGAGCGGCTGGACCGTGCTAATGGCCGCTTCGCGACAGGGCCACACGGATATTGCGCAGTTGTTGCTGGAACATGGAGCTCAAGTGGATCAGCAGAATCCGAGTGGAGCAACGGCTCTAGTGGCTGCGTGTGAAAATGGGCACTACGATACTGCTCGAGGCTTGATTGAATGTGGCGCATCTATCGATTTACAGGATGAGGATGGATATAGCGCGTTAATTGTCGCTTCTTGGCGAGGGCATGCCAGCATCGTCGAGTTGCTTTTGGTCAATCGAGCGTCCATTGACTTGGCGAACAACAGAGGCATGACTGCACTAATGCTTGGGTCGCAACAAGGGCACACGGATGTTGTGTCCCTCTTGGTGAGAAACAGAGCAAATGTCCACCACCACAACTCGCATGGCTCCACAGCTCTGCTATTGGCAAGTGAACACGGCCACCTCGATGCCACACGTGCTCTCATTGAGCATGGTGCCAAGGTTGATGTGAAAGACGCTGACGAAGACGATCCACTCCTGGTTGCCGCGATGTTCGGTCATGGGGAGGTGGTGAAGCTGCTGATGGAGCACGGAGCCTCAGTCGACGGTTTCAACAAGGCCGGAGCAACGCCACTTATAAGCGCTGCCCAAAAAGGTTTCACAGACGTCGTTGCATTGCTTCTGGCAGCGGGAGCCAACATTAATCAACCAAACGGTAGTGGTGCGACTGCTTTACAAGTTGCAAGCGAACACGGTCATTTGGAGGTCGTGAAAGCCCTTGTGGGGCGTGGGGCGACAATGGAGACGACAGATAACAGCGCATTCAAGGACGTGGTAGAGCACTTGACTTCGTAGATGTCGATTCAAACCAAATGTTGCAACGAGGTTGGTGATAGCTCGATAGGTAAGCCTACATAGGTAGGATTCCTAGTCTAGCAAGCGAGAAATGTGCGAATATGTCAAGTTGCTCACACTTACCTGCGTTGCCACAGTTCAACGCTTGTAGGGCTGCACTATAATACATACTGCACTATAATACATATGTACATGTAGTGCTCCTAACAAAATGAATCCGTAGCAGCCGCACGACGTCCTCGTGTTTATCCGCCTACCTAGCGCTTCACGATACCCCCAAACTGTTGTGACAACGGATTCAAGTTCCCATTTGACCCCAACACTACAGTAGAGGTAAAACTTAAAAAAAATAGCATGCTTCTCCTACGTCGGCCCACGAATTAGCTGCACGGGACATCGGCACCTGACGCAGGAGCTATAGTGCCAAGCGTGCAAGCTTGGCACTGCGTTTCTGATGTCCGCACCTTGCGGTGAAGTTGATGCCCGATCGGCATCGCTCGGGAGCTGCGACGCGGCATCCATCTCACCGCTCGCCGCAGCAGCAACCGTCGCCACCGCCTCGAATCTGCAGCAACAGCCCCCCCCCCATCTCGTCTGCAAGTCCGTCCGCGCGGCCTGCACCGGCAGCAAATAGACTCGCCCCCAGTATGCACGCCGATCGACAATCGGACACGCGTTTCTCCGCCGACGCGCAAATCCTTTCCCCGGCCGGACGGCGAGCGCACCAAGCAGCCAAAGCCACAGACCAGCGAGCGGACCATTTCGCCGGGTCACTGGTGCTTGGTGGCAAAGCCACGCTTCAATTTGTGTACACTTGGTGTGCGCGCACATCGCCGGGCCGTTTGGTGCTTGGGTCGGCCCCCTCAAGTAGCAACCATGAGGTTTTATTGCCGTGCGAGCTTTGGGCCGGCCAACTTCGAGTCGCCTTCGGTGGTTGCGATCCTCCTCATTCTCGGATTCCCCGTCCAAGCCTCAAGCCCCCTCAAGTACCAGCACAGTAGTGACCATGGCCTTCCGTCAGGTGTTCAAGACGCAGGCGCGCCACATGAGCTCCGGCTCGCGCAAGTTCTTCGTGGGCGGCAACTGGAAGTGCAACGGCTCGCTGGGCCAGGCGCAGGAGCTCGTGGGCATGCTCAACACGGCCAAGATCCCGGCCAACGTGGAGGTGGTCGTGGCCCCGTCGCAGGTGCACGCCGCCACGGTCAAGGCCGCGCTGCGGCCCGACGTGCGCGTGAGCGGCCAGGACGTGTGGAAGCAGGGCAACGGCGCCTTCACGGGCGAGACGTCGGCCGAGATGCTCAAGGACCTGGGCGCCGAGTACACGCTCGTGGGCCACAGCGAGCGCCGCGAGAAGGGCGAGACCAACGAGGTCGTGGCCAAGAAGGCCGCCTACGCGCTCGAGAAGGGCCTGGCCGTCATCGCCTGCATCGGCGAGACCAAGGAGCTCCGCGAGGCCAACCAGACCGTGGCCTTCATCACGGAGCAGCTCGACGCCTACGCGGCCGAGATCAAGGACTGGACCAACGTGGTCATCGCCTACGAGCCCATCTGGGCCATCGGCACGGGCCTTACGGCCTCGCCCGACCAGGCCCAGGAGGTGCACGCCAGCATCCGTGCCTGGCTCAAGGAGAAGGTGTCCCCCGAGGCCGCCGAGAAGACGCGCGTCATCTACGGCGGCTCGGTCGGTGCCAAGAACGCCCCCGAGCTCTCGCAGAAGGCCGACATTGACGGCTTCCTGGTCGGCGGCGCCTCGCTCAAGCCCGACTTCCTGCAGATCATCAACGCCCAGAACCCCACGGACAACGTCGGCGGCGCGGTGAACGTTGCCATCAACGGCTTTGGCCGCATCGGCCGCCTCGTGCTGCGCGCTGCTGCCAAGAACCCGCTGATCAACATTGTGGCCATCAACGACCCCTTCATCTCCACGACCTACATGGAGTACATGCTCAAGTACGACACGGTGCACGGCCGCTTCGGCGGCGAGATCTCGCACGACGAGCAGCACATCTTCGTGGACGGCAAGCCCATCCGCGTCTTCAACGAGATGAACCCGGCCAACATCAAGTGGGGCGAGGAGCAGGTGCAGTACGTGGTGGAGTCCACGGGCGCCTTCACGACGACCGAGAAGGCGTCGGCCCACCTGCAGAACGGCGTGGAGAAGGTGGTGATCTCGGCGCCGTCGAGCGACGCGCCCATGTTCGTGATGGGCGTGAACCACGAGCTGTACGAGAAGAACATGCACGTGGTGTCGAACGCGTCGTGCACGACGAACTGTCTGGCGCCGCTGGCCAAGGTGGTGCACGACAAGTTCGGCATCAAGGAGGGTCTGATGACGACGGTGCACGCCGTGACGGCGACGCAGAAGACGGTGGACGGTCCGTCGAAGAAGGACTGGCGCGGCGGCCGTGGCGCGTGCTTCAACATTATCCCGAGCTCGACGGGCGCCGCCAAGGCTGTGGGCAAGGTGATCCCGGACCTGAACGGCAAGCTGACGGGCATGTCGTTCCGTGTGCCTACGGCTGACGTGTCTGTGGTGGACCTGACTGCTCGTCTGGTGAACCCCGCTTCGTACGACGAGATCAAGGCTGCGATCAAGTCGGCCAGCGAGAACGAGATGCAGGGCATCCTCGGCTACACGGAGAACGCTGTTGTGTCGAGCGACTTCATCGGCGACTCGCACTCGTCCATCTTCGACGCTAGCGCTGGCATTGCTCTGACGAACGACTTCGTGAAGCTCGTGTCGTGGTACGACAACGAGTGGGGCTACAGCTCGCGTGTGCTGGACCTGATCGAGCACATGGTAAAGAACGAGTAAGTTTGCTCGCCTGGTGCAGCTACGTTCAGCTTGAAGTACGTGCTGGCGCGTTTGGTGGTTGCACACCCCATGGTACATGAGGGCGACGCAGCTCTCTAGAGTTTGTTGTACCGTGCGGAGTGCTCACAGCCTTCTTCTTAGCAGAGCAACGTCGACGAGTTTGCTGTTGTCTGTATCAATAGAAGTATGAAATTCATCCAACTCGCGCGTTGTTTAACATGTCAGCGGGCGAGTCCATTTATCCCTGCCAACGGTGACTTGACTTGCCAAAGCGCGCTGACGTACTTGCGCGGTTGTCGGTCGCATTGATGGAGGTCGCATCCTCCTCACCGCTCGTATCCTCGCAAAAAAATCACTGCCGTGGACGTGAAAGCCACGAGCAATCGAGCGTATCGTGCATTGCCATCCCTCGAAGCGAAAGCCATCGCGCGAAAGACGTCAAGAGGCTTTCGTGTCGGGTATGATGGCCATGCGCAATCGCCAAGATACTCAACGTGAATCAAGCATCGGGATCAGGGCGTCAGCCGCACCAGTTCCCTCCTATACCCGCGGCACGAATGCCACGCCCCGCCACGACCGCATCCGTTTTACTCAGCACTGCTGAGTCAGCAGACCTCGCCAAAGCACCAGAACGACAATAACGGAGACTTTTAGCTGTACCAGTTCCACGCCAACGTTTGCCTCGGAATCTCCATCGACAAGCAAGCAATTGGCAGCGCGCGCGTCCGAGCCAGAGAAGCCTCACACGGGAGCAAATCTCTTCATGGCCCGCGGCGCGCACTGCGTTTGCAAATCCTGCCCGACGAATTTGGTCCGAGACGAATGACCATATGACGACAACACGACAGAAATTAAAGCAACCACAAGGCCTAAAGCAACCCTAAAACCAGCTGGCACCCGGTAATTTATTTTAAATGACGCGTAAATGACAGGGACACGTCGCCCTCGTCATGGTCTTGCTACATATGTCTCTAAATTTAGACACGTCGTGGTGGCGTCTAACTGATGTTCTCTACACAGCAATACGTGAAACACATGACAATATGTGTCCCACATTTTCAACACTTAGCAGATTTTGAGCGACAGCAAAAATGGGGAAGAAATCGCTGGCACATGAGCTGGTGCGCGCGAGAATCGCCGAGATTGCACTCCTCAAGAAGAAGCTGGATGAGCTTACCGAGCATCTGGAAAAGCTTCTGGCAGCGCAGCTATAAATCCAAGCCCTCGTCGAAGATCGCGAAGAGAACAGCTATGCGTTAGCAGCCGTCTTGGGCGATGAAGGGGCCGACCAAGGTGGTCTCACCGCAGAGGACGACGCTGTTTCCCTCGATGTTCTACTGGAGCTGGTGGTGCGAAAAATGAAAGACTAATGCAGCATAGACTCTGTATTTAAAGGTAAATACAGACTGTGGTGTTTCTCAGAGCTGGGTCTGTAGCTGCTGCTGAATCTGGCTAGCTTTAGCGACGTCGCGTTCAGAGAGATGACGTTCTTGGGAGTAACACATGATGACCCACAGCATTTTCAATCGCATCACCTTGACGTCGTTCTTGGAAATTCTAGAAAGTTGCATCTGCAAGTTCCCCGTAAGATAGCTGTGGGCTTGGGCTACTACCATTACACCACAGCTAGCAAAATCAGGTTGTTGAGGGGCACAGATCCACTCAATCGGATCGAAGAAAAGATGGCCACGGGGGTCAGAAGCCTTGTGCCACCGCTCCACATAACCACGAAGCCCCTCCTTTCCTTCATTTTCTTTGTCTTTCGGAATTCCAGCCCGCACGATTTCCATTTCATGGTGATAGTCATCATCAATGAGCGGCTCGTACATGTAAACATGCACCCGAAGCTGGCTTGTTTTTGCCGTGTAGCGTAGGCGAAGGATAATTACCCCCAGTGGTCTGCGTGCAGATTAACGGGGTGGATAATAAAATTCGTTGCTGCAAGTGCTGTCTTAGGGAGACTTGGCCATCCGATAGCCCATGTCAGTGATGACACCACATGGCACTTCCCCACCGATCTCGCAAGGGTCTCCAAGCAAAAGTCCACAGGGCTATCATTTAGCCATCCACGACAGATCCCTCCCACGATGTTGTCAAAGCTGATCAGGACTTTGTTGGAGAGCGTCACAAATTCAGTGCGTAGCCGACATGAAGTAAACTTTGAGATAATTTCGTTCGCTCGACCTTGGTGCCGCTCGGGAACAGCATCACGCGGTAGTCCTGCAGTTGCTGTCTCCGCAGCGAAAAGATCCACGATGGAGTCAACTTTACGCCAATCTTGCTCCAGCCCCTTTCGGTCCTTTAACCATGAGGTACACTTCGCCTTGATCGCGTTGAATCCTGTTAGAGCACCTACATATTGTCTAGAAACATAAGCATGTTAAAGCAACCCTATTAAAGCAACCATATCGCTAAAGCAACCATACCCGCTAAATTTCCACAGTTTTGGATCAATCGCCAAGACGACGTCGAGAACAAGTCCTTGCTTCTTGGCCTTTTCATCCAGTACAATTGGCTGCTTCTCCTTCCGGGTAGTAGTCGTTGCTGCCTGCATTGATAGCGCGAGGTCTTGTGGAATTACAAATGTGTGCATGTAGTCCGCAGGTCGTACAATTTCCCAATGACAATCAATCTTCCGAGCTCTTAGATAGGCAACCTCCAGCTGAACAGGATACTTCGACAGCATCTCCATCACGCGCTTCAGATTTGAGGTGTTTCTGGCCCAAATCAGGAACTGATCCAAAGTCACGGCAAGTTCAGTGGGGTACTTGTGAACAGCAAGACGGTCGACTTTGAGACTGATCGTAGTTTGCCTCAGCTGTTTCGGAGTTGACCTTGACTTTCCTTGGCTTGGTGGCTTAGGAACTCTAACGACATCGACCTGGCGCACGCGCGACTCTGTGTCAGGCTTCGTAGAGCTTGAAACCTTGTCACAGCTACTCATTCCGCAGCTGTCATGAGATTTCTCGTCGATGGGGGGTCGAATTGGAGATGACTGCGAAAGGTGAGTGCGTTGTGTCGGTAACATAATTTCGTCGGACTCGTAATCGCCATAATTCATGGACATGGGGCTGCTTTCCAATGCGTCCATGAGCGTCATAGTCCCCATTGCCTCCACGGGGTCCAGAATGGAGTCTGGTACAGGTTCAGATACATCTTCTTCTTGCTTGCTATCTTCAGCAGATTCTGTAGAACTCGGTTGGGGGGCAGGGTTGACACGGTTGAGCCCTATGTCGATCGTTTCCTTCCAGGCACTTAGCTCTTGGTAGAAGTCTGCACTAGACAAATCTGACAGGTGTTCCAATAGCGGTTCCAGCATCGCTTTTGCGTATGCGTATTTTTCAGCTGAAGACAATACAACCTGGTTTGCCCGTTCACCTCGCCGTAGCCGTACGTACGCAACTTGCTTCCTAGCTTTGGTTGGCGAAGCGTTACCCCCCGCAGCATAAAGTGGTTGTTCTGGTTCAGCTCCAGTGTCGTTCGGCAACTTTACTTTCGGCAACCTTAACTTGGACATCTGCACAATTGGCTGTAACATTTCCGCTGCAGCCGTCAATTCGTTTTTCACTTCCAAGGTCTGGAACGTACTCCGCCGATCATGAATTGCCATAGCTGGAAGCAGTTTGAAGCCATGCCCCTCGCGTGCTAAGTGCATAAGATGACGACATGGTAAATGGTGACTGCTATAAAATAGACAAGTACACGTCCACTCCACATCGTGACAGCGAAAGGTTTGATTCCCGCAATAAGTTTTCCATTGTGAAGGACTCGACGCTGTACGCTTACAAGTCGCATCTGCCATGAAGTTCACAAATCGTTCCCACTCTTTTCTCACTTTCTCGAAGATGTCAGGGTACAATCGAGTTGCTACCGTCCGGAGAAACATCGGTATGGTTTTAGGAACGGGCGAAGTCGAATGGTGCTGCGCGATGACGAACCCGATCTGCTGAGTTATCATGATTTGATGCTGCACCAAGCCCGCAATAGTCTTGTCAATTCGTGTCTTGTGCCCCAACAGTATTTTCACTTGATTCCAGTTTGACTCGATCCTGTTCGTTGTAGTATTCCCAGTCGTGAAAAATTTGCTGCGAGCAAAGTTCGCCGACATGTCTCGACACGAATCCCAGTTCTTCAAAGTACGAGAATAAAGCTTGTTTCTTGTTGTCTTCGCAGTATTGCTTCAATGCACCGTAACTAGAATCGTAACCTGTCTCTGTGGAGCTGCATATGGTTTGTTTTCCAAAGTTAGCGTTACCACAAGAATCATAAATAGAACCTGTTGCGTACCTGTACAGCGTTTTTATCATCAGGTTGAGTAACTCGTCGCGTTCAGACACCTTCAGCTTGTATGGGGCCCGCTGCATTACCTTCTTCCAGTTTGAAATGGCATGGAATTGACAAAGTAAAACTTTCGCAGCAGGAAATAGTGTTTTCAGCACCCTCCACTCAACGAAATCTTTGTCGATCACAATGGAGGATATCATCCGCCAACTTGGGTTCTTCTCTTGGAAATACTCCAGGATTGTTGTCATCATCGGAGCTCGTTGGTTGAGGCATATGCAGTCTACAACTGGGAACCCTCTACCAGTAGCGGTTGTGACGACCAGACTCCCTGAAATATCCAACACACAACAGTAGAAAATCACTTTGTTAATAAGGTTGCTATATCATCGATATGGTTGCAATAACTACGCAAGGTTGCCGTAACAAAGATAAAGTTGCTATACCGAACAACTCATAAGCACCCAAGTGATAGCCCAAATTGTTCGTGCCGTGAGTGAAATCCATCGTAAGAGTGTCGCCCCAGCGCTCGAACATCAACTTCTGCACATTTGTTTGCATCACGATACCGCATGTCACGTCCATTTGGTCTTGAATAACAAGGACGTCACTACCGTCTAACTGGCGGATAGCTTGCAGCATGTCTTTCAAACGGGCCTCCGCTGCGTCGTGCCCCATAATACTGCGGATCAGACTACGGGTCTGTTGAGGTGTTATTTTGCAGCCTAGCAAACACACAAAGCGCGAACAGTAACGTAAGTATCACTTCAGCATATCATATATAAAACTACGCACCGATTCTCTCATTCAGGAAGTTCGTGATGTGCTTGGAAGAAACACTAGCATCCGTTAAAGTCTTAACATCTTCGAGATCTTGCTCGTCCAACGGAAGTGTCTTTGTTGTCAGGTACAACGATGCTTGCGTTCGGGTGGTCGGGTGCGTGTGGGTAAAGTTCTGATTATCAACAGCGACATGTGAGAAATACTAACAAAGCAAACAAATACACGAAAAGGCAGATACCTCGTTTCTTATGACAATTCGAAATTTGCCATTTTCCGTCCGCTGAACGGTTGGTGTCATGCGTGCAGGACACCCGCAATAGTTGCCTTTTCTATTGCGATGTCCCTTGGAGCGCGACGCTTGCGAAACACCGTGTGTACAGCGGAGGACCTTGTGACTCCAATTAAAACGTGAAGGGATTTGGTCCCGATGATTGCTGCATATGAAAGGGGGTTTCGATAATAACTTAAATGTCTCATCAAACAGAGGTCACACATACCTGTTGTACTGATTTCGTGTCTCCGAGCTTCGTACTCGAAACTTGAGGTGGTGCTTCTGCTTGTATATTTTCAAGTGTGCGTTGAACTTGCTCCAACTCTTGATAATCGCTGGGGTAAAGGGCGGAACGGGGTTGATAATTTCTTCGCGCTCTTCGTTGATCTCCCGCAACTCGTCAAGGTGCTTGCTTGATCGCTTCCGCGGTATGTACTGCTTGTTCCGCTTGGATAAACGTGGGACCGAATCAGCGTCGACAGACTCGTGAAGCTGCAGCTCCGCCTTACGCTTTTTCGCGAAAGATTGGGCTTCATCCCCAGCAGAAAGCTTGCATTTGGCCAGAGCGGTATCTATCGATTCCAAAGTGAATGTCAATATTAATGATAGCGCAACCTTTTTGCTTAAAGCAACTTTAACGAGAATACCTGGTGTTTTCTTGCGTGCTGTGGCTTTCTTTCTCGGCTCGGGGCTCTGTTTTAGTGTCCTGCGTTCTAAACAAACTAAAAAAAATACACAATACATTATCAGTTCAACTGAATCAGTATCAACAATAATCCAAACGAGTCTTACCCGCTTCTGCTTCGTCTTCTGTGCTGGATTCTCCGTCGTCGTCTGCCTCCTCTTCATCGTCACTCCCCTCCTCTTCATCGTCGTCGTCACCCTCCTCTTCATCGCTATCGCTCTCCTCGTCATCATCGACCTCTTCTTCGTCTTCCTCCTCTTGGTAGCAATCCTCCGCCTCTTCGTCGCCGTTGTCTTCCTCATCCTCCTCATCCAGAACAAAGTCTTCGTCTTCGTCGTCGTCTTTTTCAATCCCGAGAGCGGCGTACATGTAGTTTAGCTCCTCGTTTACGTTCCGCAGCTTTCGGCCTAAACAATACATACCGACAGAATTCAAACAAAATGTGAGGCACGTAGATACTCTCGTTGCCACCAACATGGAGCATACTGATTACCGTTTATAATGGCTCCCCCCGCAGGAGCCATCGGTCCCCCCTCGCCGTTTGGTGCTTGGCTGATTCGCGAGAGGTGCGTGCCCCACGTGGCCTCCGTTCAGCAGCGCGATTCTTAAAATGAGCGGCTGTGAGGTGGCGCACTTAATGGCATCGTACCTAATCAGAAGCGCACTTTAGCGTGATTTGCGTACCTAAGGGCTTAATGGTAATTTAGACATTTAAATTACGCTCGTAATTTTTGAAATCCCTAAAAGCAACCATACATGTCTCAGAATGGTTAAAAGCAACCATACTTATGGTTGCTCTAACCACTCCCGTCCGAGACTGCTCAGTGCGCAGTAAAGCCGCGCCGACCAAATCACATAAATTGTCCGCTGGTGCTTGGTGTCCGCCTCAAGATTTGTATTGCCATACTGAGCGCCAGTGTGTCTCCAAGCACCACTACCCCTCATCGAGCAATCGATCCTTGGAATAAAAAACCTCGCCTTGAAGTCGGATCCAGCAACTCACGTGCCAGTGGTCTCCGCTATCGACCGTCGGGTCGAGTCATTCCTGGATTCGCCCTCCAAGCCACACACTTCATCACCGCCCAAGCCTAGCCATGGTCAACGTCGCCATCAACGGATTCGGCCGCATCGGCCGCCTCGTGCTGCGCGCCGCCGCCAAGAACCCCAAGATCAACGTCGTGGCCGTGAACGACCCGTTCATCGCCACCAAGTACATGGAGTACATGCTCAAGTACGACACGGTGCACGGCCGCTTCGGCGGCGAGATCTCGCACGACGAGCAGCACATCTTCGTGGACGGCAAGCCCATCCGCGTCTTCAACGAGATGAACCCGGCCAACATCAAGTGGGGCGAGGAGCAGGTGCAGTACGTGGTGGAGTCCACGGGCGCCTTCACGACGACCGAGAAGGCGTCGGCCCACCTGCAGAACGGCGTGGAGAAGGTGGTGATCTCGGCGCCGTCGAGCGACGCGCCCATGTTCGTGATGGGCGTGAACCACGAGCTGTACGAGAAGAACATGCACGTGGTGTCGAACGCGTCGTGCACGACGAACTGTCTGGCGCCGCTGGCCAAGGTGGTGCACGACAAGTTCGGCATCAAGGAGGGTCTGATGACGACGGTGCACGCCGTGACGGCGACGCAGAAGACGGTGGACGGTCCGTCGAAGAAGGACTGGCGCGGCGGCCGTGGCGCGTGCTTCAACATTATCCCGAGCTCGACGGGCGCCGCCAAGGCTGTGGGCAAGGTGATCCCGGACCTGAACGGCAAGCTGACGGGCATGTCGTTCCGTGTGCCTACGGCTGACGTGTCTGTGGTGGACCTGACTGCTCGTCTGGTGAACCCCGCTTCGTACGACGAGATCAAGGCTGCGATCAAGTCGGCCAGCGAGAACGAGATGCAGGGCATCCTCGGCTACACTGAGGAGGCCGTTGTCTCGAGCGACTTCATCGGCGACTCGCACTCGTCCATCTTCGACGCTAGCGCTGGCATTGCTCTGACGGACGACTTCGTGAAGCTCGTGTCGTGGTACGACAACGAGTGGGGCTACAGCTCGCGCGTGCTGGACCTGATCGAGCACATGGTCAAGAACGAGTAAGCGCGCACTCACACTTCGCGCACGGGCCTCTAGCTTGTTAAAATCTTCGTAAAAATACAGACAAAAAGCTATTCACCGCGAAGCGTCTCCATTGCATGGGGTGCATCCACTTTTTTGTTCATTTTCAAGGACCTTTTCCAGTCATCGTAGGCAAAGACAAGAAGGATAGTTCTAGGGGTTCCGTACTTGTGTCGTGGCAATGTTAGCTGGATGCTGAATTCTATCTACCCAGTGCGTCTATTACTAGCTGACTCAGACCGGCGTTGTCGTTGTCTGGCGTTCTTCCAGTGCCCCACCGCTGTCCAGGAGGAGTCGCACAACGTCCAAGTGTTTGTGCTCATTTGCCACCTGCAATGCCGTCGCCCCGCTGGAGTTTGGGGTGTTGGCATCAGCTCCTGCTGCTAGAAGCAACGCGGCAATATTAACATGGCCATTTTGTGCCGCACTCGTAAGAGGGGTTTGGCCAGCCTTGTTGGTCCTCTCTATCGCTGTTCCGTGCTCTACAAGCAACTTTACTATCTCATAATGCCCCGATATTGCGGCAACCATTAATGAATCGTCTTCGTCAGCGTCCTTCGCGTCAATTTTTGCGCCATGTTCTACGAGAGCACGCACGACGTCGAAATACCCATACTGACTAGCAATCAGTAGAGCTGTCGACCCATGCCGATCCGCCTGGTCAACACGCGCTCCGTTTTTCAACAAACATAATACAACATCCACGTATCCACTCTGGGATGCAGCCATGAGTGGGGTCCAGTCTTCGCTGTTCGTCAGGTTAACGTTAGCTCCTTTGTTCAGAAGCAGCTCCACAATACCCACGTGGCCTCTGAACGCACTCGAGATCAATGCGCTATCTCCATATTCGTTACAGATGTCGACGGATGCACCACCCGCGACCAGGGCTCTCGCAACATCCAAATGCCCATTTTGACTGGCAATTATCAGCGCTGTCACGCCACTTGGACACTTCTGATCGGTCGAGGCTCCGTGCTGCAAGAGCTGCTGCACCACAGCCGTGTGGCCGTGATCGGACGCAACCATTAGCGCACTCCAGCCTGCGTTGTTCGTCAAATTAACGTCAACTTCACAGCTCCAAAGCCCATCGTCCATTGCAACTTCTAGTTCATTGGCAATGGTCACTCCATTTAGGCGTTGTTGATCAATCCGAGCTCCGCGATGCAAGAGCACCCGAACTACAGCAGCGTGACCATTATCGGAAGCTACCATTAACGCGCTCCAGCCGCCATTGTTCGTCAAGTTAACGTTAGCTCCATTGTTCAGAAGCAAGTCCACAACATCCATGTGGCCTTCAATCGAAGCCAGAGTCATTGCACTGTTTCCGTACTTCTCACGGACGTCGGTGGATGCGCCACACTCGACCAGGGCTCTTGCAACATCCACATGGCCATGCTGACTAGCAACAATTAGCGCTGTAACTCCATCGGGTCGCCGTTGGTCAATTAGAGCTCCATGATGCAAGAGCACCCGCACAACAGCGATGTGTCCATACTGAGATGCTACCATTAGCGCGCTCCATCCTTCGTTGTTCGTCAAATTAACGTCGGCGCGACTGTCTAGAAGCAGCTCCACGACAGCTGAGTGGCCTTTAATACAGCCCCATACCAACGCGCTATTGCCATATTCGTCTCGGACGTCGACAGAAGCACCCCCATCGATCAGTGTTCTTGCAACTTCTACGTGCCCCAGTTGACAAGAAATTATAAGCGCGCTGGCCCCCATTTGACGCTGCTGGTCGATCTGAGCTCCGTACTGCAAGAGCACACTCACCACATTCATGTGACTCCGTCCCGACGCTGCCATTAGTGGCGTCCAGTTCTCGTTATTCGCCGAGTTAACGTCGGCTCCGTTCTTCAAGAGCAATTCTACGATCCCGACGTGTCCCTTGACAGAGCCCCAAATCAACGCGCTATCTCCGTGTCCGTCGCGGATGTCGGTGGACGCGCCACACTCAACCAGGGTTCTTGCAACATCCACATGGCCATGTTGACTAGCAATCATAAGCGCTGTCACTCCGTTGGGACGCTGTTGGTCGATCGGAGCTCCGTGATGCAAGAGCATCCGCACAACAGCAATATATCCATACCGAGACGCCGCCATTAGCGCACTCCATCCTTCGTTGTTCGTCAAAGCAGCGTCAGCGCCGTTGTTCCGAAGAAACTCCACGATACCCGCCTGGCCTTTCAGCGCGCCCCACACTAAGGCGCTGTTTCCGTGTTCATCGCGGACGTCAATGAATGCACCCCCGTCTATCAATGTTCTCGCGACATCCACTTGGCCCAGTTGGCTGGCAATTGCAAGCGCTGTTACTTCATTCGGACGCTGCTGGTCGATTCGAGCTCCGTGCTGAACGATTGCTTTGACGACATCGAGATGCTCTCTCATGCATGCTACGGTTAGTGCGCTTTGGCCGGCATAATCGAAAATGTCAACTCGAGCTCTTTCATCAAGTAACAGATTGACAACATCGATGTGCCCATTCTGAGCCGCACTCATCAGCGGAGTCCTGCCTTTCGTGTCGGGCTTGTCAATGTCGTCATGATACTTGAGCAGCTTCTTCACCACCTCCAGGTTGCCTTGCTCACACGCAATTCGAAGTGCTGTGTCCCCGTTACGAGGCTTTTCGTCAATTGAAGAGTTTAGAGCCGTGTTTTCCGGGTCACTACCAGCTTGGGGCGCCGGACGGTCGTCCCCCCTGAAGTCTGGTCCAGCGCGTTCGTAGATCAGCTGCGTGAATTCAATGTAGCCGCTCATATACGATACGGTCAACGCCGACCAATTCTGAAAGTCGCCACACAACGAGATATCTGCGCCGTTATCCAAAAGAATCCGTACGACGGCCAACCGCTTGTACCAAACTGCCGTAAGTAGCGCAGTTCCTCCGCTGGGCAGTCGTGCGTTGATGTTGGTCCCTCTCGAAACTAAGAACTGCACGACATCTGAGTGACCAAGCTGTGCAGCAGTGATCAACGGGGTGTAGCCTGCGTCGTCAGCCACTTCAAGGTCAGCTCCAAAGTTCACGAGCATCACAACAACATCCACTTGGTCGTGTTCACAGGCAATGTTCAGCGCCGATGCCCCATTTGGACCTCGAGCATTGATATCTGCGTTATTTTCCAGTAGGCATTGTATCACTTCCAAGTGACCCCTCTCCGCAGCCTTCAGGAGTGCATTCAAACACTGATCGGGGCCTGACCCAACAAAAGTGCTAGATTCAACCACAAGTCGAACTATTGAGGAATGCCCACTGCTAGCGGCCATGATAAGAGCCGTATCCCCATGTCGATCATGTGAATCAAGCGAAGCTCCACCCTCTATGAGGACTCTGGCGACGTTCACATGTCCGTATTGGCAAGCAATCATTAGCGCTGTCACTCCATTTAGACGCTGTTGGTCGATCCGAGCCCCGTGCTTCAGAAGCACCCGCACAACGGCGATGTGACCGGAGCGAGACGCGACCATTAGTGCCGTCAGATCAACGGCGTTAGTCCAATTAACGTCAGCTCCATACTCGATAAGCAACTCGGCGACAATCGCATGGCCTTTGATGCAGGCCCATATCAAGGCACTATTACCATATTTCTCGCGCATGTTGACAGATGCACCCGCGTCGAGCAGCGTTCTCGCAATATCAGCGTGGTCCAGTTGACTAGCAATAATGAGCGCTGTCACTCCATTGGGGCGCTGTAGGTCGATCTGAGCTCCATGGTGCACGAGCCTTTCCGCCACAGCCAGGTGACCGTATTGAGATGCGGCCATTAATGCACTCCAGCCTTCGTTATTTGTCAAGTTGACGTCTGCTCCATTCTTTAGAAGCAGCTCCACAACGCCAACGGGGCCTTGGGTAGAAGCGCTTATTAGGGCCGTAGCTCCGTCTCCATCCTGCACGTCAATCGATACTCCACTCTCAATCAAGGACCGAACAACCTCGAGTTCTCCGTGTTTGCAAGCGTTGTGCAAGTGTCCACCCAGCAACTGTCCTCGCCTGACAGGAACTCGGCCATCTTCAATTGATCGCTCGACCGCTTCTGCACCGGAATAATCTGCCATCGGGGATGTCGGCTCCGCTGAGTCGTTTTGTTTTACTCCACACGATTTCTCCGCAACTGCGCGGCTGTCTTGGTTGTCTTCCACCTCAATGTCCAGCAGGATGTCAGAATCCCCCGGACGCTCCTCGTTGGGGTCTGCTGAGAGCTTGTCTTCATGAAGCGCAGTACGGTTGGACATACAGTATGCGGCTGAGCCCCCTGCCCGATTAAAGAGTGACCCCGTACCTGCTACCAATGATTTGTAGCCATTGTCGTCTGAAACACCAACTTGCGATTAAGTGGGGTCAGCACCGAGAGCAGCACGTCAAGCGCCTTCCTGGCCACCGTGTGAAGATCAGCCCACCCGTAGAACGGCCCACCTCTAGTGATCTAAGCTCGTCCAGGAAGGCTCAACATCTTCAACTCTTCAGTTGCATCTTGGATCACAAAAGTTGCAGATTAAGGGGGGTATTGTGCCACACAATCGACACACAACAATAATAGCGTGAAGAGCTCCAAGAGATGTCGCTCTTGGTGCCGGACTACGCGAGCTCGTCGGAGGACGAGTCGGGGCCGAGCGCGCCGCCGGCCCCTTCCGTTCCTGCCCCAGCGCCTCCTCCAGCTCCTGCTCCACTCGCGTCCAAAGCCGCAGCGTCCCCGCCCAAACCGAAGAAGAGCAAGAAGACGAAGACGAAGACGAAGAAGCGGAAGACCAAGACGACGTTGTACCTGCCGCCAGATATCCAGCGGCTGCTGGAGACTGGGACCAGCGGCGGAGCGCTGTCCGACGACAGCGACGACGACAACGAGCTGCTGGCCAAGCACAAGCGCGCCAAGAAGGCGGCCAGCAAGCGGCCGAGGCCAGCAGCCGCCGACAAGGAGTCGGTGCTGTCCTTCCTCCCGCCGCCGAAGCACGAGCTGCCGGCTGCAGAGACTGCAGCGCAAGCTTCTATTGCCCCTGAGGTCGAGGCTGCAGCTGCAGTGGAGGAGCAGAAGCAGGAGGCCGCAGAGGCTCGAGCAGGTCAGCAGCCAGTGGACGAGGCGGCGGCGGTCGCGAACGCTGCGGCTTGGCAGCAGTACTACCAGCAGCAGCAACAGTACCAGGCCAGTTACGCTGCGTCGGACGGCTATTATGTAGCACAGGGAGAGGATGATGTACCTGGAGGTAGCTCCAAGCGCAGGAGGACGCGCGAGAGGGACATTGAACGTGCCCTGCAGCAGGGCCACTTTGAGACGGTGGCGGGTCAGATCATGGATGTACAGGGCCCCGCGGCCAATGCCTGGCAACCGCCAGTTGACCCGTTGACAGGTGCTAGCGGCGCGAGTGGATCTAGTGACCAGGAAATGAAGGTGAAGGCCAGCTTCTGGAACGCCCAGGCTGGCACCACGGTGTCGTCGATGAAGCCCAGTCGCCTGCAGAGACAGAAACACCAGCTGAACCAGCTTGCGTTCGACGCTAAGGCACGAGACTTTGAGCTGCTTGACAAGCGAGGGGCGTCTCTGAAGACAAAGAGAGAAACGTACGCCAAGTATGGCTGGTAAGAGAGCAAGTCGAGTCTAATGATGTGCGATACAATTGCAATTGGAGCTACCGATATACTGCTTGCATCCTCTCAACTAGCTGGGTGTTTGCCCACTGCTTATAACAAATTGAGCTTGGTCATAGCTGCCGTCTGCTCTTCCACGCTCGTAGACGCGTCAGCATCTTCGGGGAGATGTTCTTCTTCCTCTCCTTCTGTATACTTCTGCTCCTGCACCTCGTCCTCATCTTCGTCGACGCCTTCCTGCGCCTCCTGCTCCTTCTCTTCCAGGAATTCCTCAGTGAAAACTTCCATCTCGTGCTGCAGTCGCGCCGTCTCGGCCTTGCTAACCTTGCCACGGCGGCTAGCTCCTAGCGTCTTCAACTTGCGGTCGCCCTTGTGGTGCTTGCCGCTCTCACGCGGATAGACCTTCCGCACGAGCACGAGGTCGGGCAGCTCGTTCTTGAGCGAGTACGTCTGGCTCGAGCCGAAGATGGCGGATGAGAGATCGTAGCCCTTGACCGTGTCGCCCGCGGTCAAGACGCCGCCCAGGTGGGTGCGCACCTGGAAAGTCGTGTCGTTCACGCCAAAGTCGCTGGCGCGAGCCACTTCCACGTCCGCCACGACGTACTTGGACTTGCGTCCTTTGCCTGAGGTCGGCGCAGGACCGACTTGGCGCAGGTCGCGCGGGTCCACGGGCTCCACATCCAGCACGATAAACTCGACCATATCGGAGCTCGTGGCCAGCGGCAGGAACGGCAGCTTCCAGTACCTGTCCGTCGCGAGCTCGGCCTTTTGGCCGGAGACAGGGTCCAGCAAGTGCACCATGGACGTGGTGCGCGCGCACAGCGTCACGTCCGAGATGTTGCCGCAGCTCTGCGCGAACTTCCTGGGCAGCACCAGCAGGTCGTCCTTGCAGATCGGGCTGAGCTCGACGCTGTACGTGAGCTGCAGGTTGGCCGTCGAGTTGTGCACGTTCTCCGAGATCAACTTGCTGGACGACTTGGAGCGCATGGGCACGTGCGCGGATAGGAAGTGGATGAAGCGCTCGGCCGTGGACTTGGTGCCGAAGTAGAAGTCCATGCCCTCCTTGACCGCGGTGATGCCGATGGCGTCCTGGTGCGCGTTGTGCTTGAGGATCTCCTGCTCGAGCCGCAGGAACGTGCGCTTGTGCTCGGCCTTCTGGCGGATCTGCACGAGCGCGCGCCAGGTGTTGTTGTGGTACTGCTTGGTGCAGTCCGGGCACTTGATGCTGTGGATGACGAAGGTGATGACGCACGTGTTCTGCACCACGGCGTGGTTGGCCACCTCTCGCTGCAGCGTGAGCCGCAGCTTGACGCGCTTCGAGTGCGGCTCGGTCCAAATGAAGCCGGCGTCGATGAGCTTGGCCTTGCTGAGCCCCGGGATGCTCTTGAGGCACAGCGCCATGAGCTCCTTGGACTCCCAGTCGCAGCCGAGCCACGCGCCGCCCGCGCTGCTGTACTGCTGGCCCTTGCCGCGCGACTGGAAGCGCAGGCAGCCGCGGCACTGCACCAGCTCGCACTCGGTGTCGATGCCCTCGGCCACGTCCACCTCGGTCGCGATGCAGGACGCGCACATGTTCATGGCGTTGGCCTCGATCTGCGCGCCGCACATGCAGCACGAGCTGGCGGCAGACATGCAGCAAAGGGTTAGAAGGTGGAGGAGAAGGAGGTGGTGAGTGGCAATTGCAGTGGGCGGGTGCGTACATTGCCATGGTGGGAGATAGCGGAGACTTGGTGGTGGCGCCTTCTTGCCTTGGGTTGGGATTGAAAAGTGGGCGTGCAGTTGGTCCGCTAGACGCGGATTGCGTCATCAGGTTTGGCGACATCGGACCAAAAGTGAAGGTTGGACCAATTTTTGTGTCGGCCGCAGGCACCGTTCCGGCACTGTTTCTTGCGCTTCAACTTGACTGATGGGAGAAAGGCAAACCAAAGCGTAAACCAAAGCTTTGGCTTGTAGTGATGGAGACACGAAGGTGTAAGTGGAGGGGAGGACAGCAGATACGCGTAGAGATAATAGATAGATCCTACAATTGCCGCTGCTGCCAAGCACCTCGAGGCAGGTATGTGACTGTACTTTTGTCCAGCGAAGAAAAATCAGCAAGGGACGCCTGGGTCTGTTCCGCCGGCCTCATTCTGGAATTCGCAGCCAAGCCCTCACCTGAGAAATTACCGTAGCAGCGCCATGGATTTCATCGTTGATGTCTTACACCAGGTCTACGAGCTGCAAGGTAGAGCACGCCACCAGCGCCGAGCCAACCGAGAGATTTACCTGCGGGCGATGGAAATGTACACGGAGCTCCAAATGTCGGAATCCGTTCAAAACAACGGAACACTGCAGCGCACCGCCGCATTGGAGAAGTTTGCAGATAGTGTGAGGGACTTCCACAGCTACCTACGAGCATACAATAACAAGCCCAGAGTCGTCCGCCTTGTGAAAAGGTCCGAAATGGAGGAGCGGCAGCAACAAATCAACGACGAAATGGGCCAACTCATCCAGACGATGAATTTCGCCGCAACGATAGCGTCAATGAACACGGACGCTTCTGTTGCCCGGGCCAACAACAAGAAGAGATTCCCCGGTAAGTCTGTGCCGCCCAAACGGCAAGTTGACCGGTCATTACAAGCGGCTTGCCAGCACGGCCATCTCAACACGGCCCGGGCTCTGATTGCCGCGGGCGCTTCCGTCGACCCACAGACTGACAACGGACACTTTCCCTTGATGGCGGCATGCACGGGTGGCCATGCTGCTCTAGTGGAGCTGCTTTTGAGCAAACGAGTGTCAGTTGACACAGTCGATAATGATGACCGGACTGCGCTCATGGCTGCTTCACAAGAGGGGCACGCCGATGTCGTGCGAGTGTTGGTTCAAACCGGAGCGCAAGTTGATCAGCAGCGCCCAGATGGAGAAACAGCTTTGATTATTGCCTGTCAGCATGGACGCCTCGAAGCCACTCGAGCGCTCATCTACGGTGGTGCATCGGTAGATTTGCCGGACAACATTGGGGATACGCCCTTGATATGGGCCTCTTCAAAGGGCCACGGCCCGATCGTCCAGCTGCTGGTTGAAGGTGGTGCATCCATTGAGTCTCACTCCAAGACGGGCTGGACTGCGTTGATGAAGGCTACCGAGAGGGGGCGGTTGGATGTGGTAAAACTGCTGTTGAAAAGTGGTGCGAACATCAACGCGCAAGGTCTCAATGGAGCAGCGGCGCTGAGCATTGCGTGTGAGCATGACCAGTTGGAAATCGTTGTGGCGCTGGTGAACCATGGAGCTGATACTGAGATTGCCGACGACGCAGGCTACACCCCGTTGATCACTGCCGCACAACTGGGCCACTCCGATGTCGTGCAGTTCTTAGTTACGAGGGGAGTGAACGTCAACGCACGGCTGCCCAGTGGAGGGACTGCTCTACTAACGGCAGTGTGGTTCAAACGATTGGCTGTGGTTCGGATCCTCCTGGATAATGGAGCAGATTTCACGTTGCGTGGCGACTTTCAGAATTGGTCGGCGTTGACTGTCTCGTATATGAGCGGCTACATCGAATTGACACAGCTGATATACGAGCGCGTTGAACCTGATTTCAGTGTTCCTGTTGATCAACCTACGCCTGCTGTGGATTCGAACAGTGATGCTGGACATGTTACGAGCACCAACTCCATCATTGACGAGAAACTGCGTAATGGGGACACTGCATTACGAATTGCATGCGAGCAAGGAGATTTGGGGGCGGTGAAAAAGTTGCTGATACACCGTGACGACATCGATAAGACTGACGGGAGGGGCCGTACTCCGCTTATGAGTGCCGCTCAGAATGGTTATATTGACGTGACCAAACTTCTACTTGATGAAAGGGCCCGAGTCGACGCTACCGATGCAGACGGACATACTGCACTATCGATCGCGTGTCAGCGCGACCACTTAGCTATCGCCCAAGAGATCATCCGGGCCGGGGCCACCATCGACATCTTCGCATCGAATGGGCGTGCTCCACTGCACTTTGCGGCAGGAATCGGCAACGCCGCCGTAACAAAGTTGCTGTTGGAGAATCGAGCGACTATCGACTTGGTCGACAGTAATGGCTGCACCGCACTGATGGAGGCTTCTCGTCATGGACACACCGATACTGTGCGTATTTTAGTAGAGCGTGGAGCCCGAATTGATGCGCAAGATCTAAGCGGAACAACAGCTTTACTACTTGCAAGCCAGCACGGACGACGCGACATCATTCGTGTTCTTGTTGATGGTGGCGCGTTCATTGACTTGCAGGACAGCGCAGGAAATAGCGCGTTGATGATAGCTTCGGCGAAGGGCAATGCTGGAGTCGTGGAGTTGCTTTTAAACAGCGAAGCAGCTGTAGACCTGACGAACAACAGTGGATGGACTCCACTGATGCTCGCTTCGCAACAAGGCTACTCGGGTGTGGTGCAGGCTTTGGTACGGAAGGGGGCACACATTAATCATCAGAGTCCGACTGGAACAGCAGCTCTACAGGTTGCAAGTCAGCACGGCCGTCGCGATACCGTTCGAGCTCTACTTGACGCTGGCGCATCCATCGACTTGGAGGACGAGGATGGGAATAGCGCGTTGACACTGGCTTCTTCACAAGGTCATGTCGGCGTTGTGGAGATGCTATTATCGGGAACGGGGTAGTCGATGGTCATTCCGATCTTTCCTTACAGTATTGGGAAGCGATGGGCGTTTGTATCCATATGGAAGGCGAACGTGTTCAAAGTTGGCACTAGCGTTAGCGATACTGGTCCAGCTTGACTATCCTTTATGCTTTACCCATGCTTATTGTATCGACGTCGAAACGCTTTAGCCGTGTCTGAAAGAATGTCTCCGACCGATGCCGCATTGTGGAATTCGTCGTCAAGATCCAAGCTGGGGGAGACGTCTCTATTCTGCAGTGGCTATGAATCTCTCGTCAAGTGTTGTCGACACTCTTCACCAACGCATAGCCAATCGACAGACGTATATGTAGATGATAGATGATGGAGAAGCACGGAGACTGGAAGCTCACTCATGATTCAGTGCAGCAGCAAGTTAGTCCACACATTCGTTTTGGTAACCTTCTCACTCGTAGTCTCACCTGCGCGTCGAAGGTCTGCATTAGTTTACTTGTAGATCAGCTGCTGAAATGTGTCTCCTCGAAAAGTGGTGCTAGTCACGTGAACTTACGACCTTCGTGGGAATCGACACCAACAACATTTACCGGACACTGCTGACATTGTTGCCACGCTTCTTGACTATGTAGATCATGGCGAGCATTTCCAAGGAGCTCCGAACGTTTCCCAAGGAATGCAAGAAACACACGGTGCAGAAGGTGACGCAGTACATTGATAAGGCCACCAGGGCGCTCGTCACTATGCGGTCAAGCAGAAGGGTCTCGACCGCCAGATCAAGGAAATCTTACACAAGAAGGTGACACGATTCATTCGTGGGCACGCTGAGTCACTGTGACATACATTCACGAGTGCGTGCTGGTGTACATGCCAACCCTGCGAAGAAGATTGTGCTGCGATTCTTGGAGTGCCAGACGTGGAAGTGCATCAAGCAGATGGACATTGAGCGAGAAGAAGAAGAACAATTGGCCTTAGTACTAAACCCACAAGAATAGGATAAACCAACCGGTGGGATCTGAAATTCAGAGTCCTTACGCCCAAGTTGAGAGTGAGTCAAAACAAAGGCTAAGGAAACGAGACTGTGAATGCCCCGCTAACTGTCCGTAAAACATTAAAGCATGTAGCCTTGCTATTAAAGTAAAACGCTACTGTATCCAACTCGTCTGACCAATTATACGCGTTTTAAGCGTTAATCATAGTGTTTTAGCATAATTTTCCCGATTTACCTACCCCACTGGATCTGTACAGTACTTCGCTCGTAATTAATCGATGGTACAACGTACCACACACTCATATCAGTGCCACACTGCAAGTCTCCCGTCGACCATGGCGCTTCCTCACGAGCGCTCGCCAATGCTGCCCTCCACTTACGCAGCAATCCCCGATGGCACTCGCCGTCCTCTTCCCATTACCGTAGGCTGGCTTGCACTGGTCTCCGCCGCGTTGGTGCTGTTGGGACTCGTCACCATCGACTCCCCCACTTCCATCGCCCCGGAGACTGTGCAGGACGCTGCCACCACCACCGCAGTCACGACCTCGTTCCCCACGCTTCCCGACGGGTCCAGAGACCTGCTGTCACTCTGCCAGGAGAAGTTCATCACCCAAGAGCTCGACCACTTCCGGGCCAATGGTGGATCCAGCGAGGGGTCATTCGAGCAACGGTACTTCGTGTGCTCGCCCGAAAGCTTCGACCCGAGCAACGGGTCCATCTTCTTCTACGTGGGCAACGAGGCGGACGTGACGCTGTACCTGAACCACACGGGGCTCATGTGGGAGAACGCGGTGGCCTTCAACGCGCTGATCGTGTTTGCTGAGCACCGGTACTTCGGCAAGTCGGTTCCGTTCGGACTCGACGTGCTGGAGCACATGGAATTCCTGTCCACGCAGCAGGCGCTGGCCGACTACGCCGTGCTGATCGAGGCGCTCAAGAAGCAGCTGGGCGTGGATGTTCCGGTTATCGGCTTCGGCGGCTCCTACGGCGGCATGCTCGGCACGTGGTTCAGGATGAAGTACCCGCACATCATCGACGGCGTCATCGCTGCGTCGGCGCCTGTGGTCAACTTTCTGGGGGACCCGGACCACCCCGCAGACACTGAGGCGTTCAACCGCGTGGTGACGTTCGACATGTCGGAGGAGGCGGGCGCAGCGCCCAACTGCATCCCGAACCTTCGACGTGCGCTGACTGCTGCCATTGAATCGGTGCAGACTCAGGATGGACGCAAGCAACTGGCGGAGCTGCTTCACCTGTGCGACACAGACTCGCTGTCGACGTCGGACGACGTGGTTTCCATTGCGGCTGAAGCTTACGGCGACCTGGCCATGGGGAACTATCCGTACCCAACGTCGTACATCATGGACGGAAACGTGGATCTGCCTGGCTACCCGATGCGTGCTGCGTGTGAGCCTCTCGCTGGAGATTTCGCTGAAGACGACGACCTGGGGCTCATCAACGCCTTCCGCGAGAGCATCGACGTATACTACAACGCCACCAAAAGCGAGTCCTGCTTCTTCCCGCCCGCCCCTAAGAAAACAGTCAACGAGTCTGCGACTTCCGATGAAGCCAAGCAGGCCAAGATCGACCAGAAGGGCAACTTCTGGGGCTACTTGGAGTGCTCGGAGCTGTACATGCCCATGAGTTCCGACGGCGTGAGCGACATCTACCCCGCCGTGCCAGTCAACCAGTCGAAGGACGACGCTGACTGTTTCGAGCAGTGGGGAGTTCACTTGAAGCCGAACTGGGCCCAAACCGAGTACGGCGGCATGAAGGCGCTGCGAGCTACGAGCAACATCGTCTTCAGCAACGGCAACTTCGATCCGTGGTCGGGTCTGGACGTGCTTCAGTCCCTCTCGCCTTCCGTGGTGGCTGTGCCGGTTCCTGGAGGAGCTCACCACTTGGACTTGTTCTTTTCGCACCCGCTCGACCCGCCCGCTGTTACCGAGGCTCGTCAGACCGAGTTGAAGTACATTCGTCAGTGGATCGACGAATTCTACGCCTACAAGCAGGAGGTCGTCAAGACGGACCTCTAAGTTAAGTGGAGTTAAGGGCGCCTAAAACCTCGATAAACTTACCAGACGAGTTCAAAATTGTGGCTTCGTGTTACGCTTAGCATCAACTAATAATTCCGCGAGTCGTTATCGCGCCGGACGTGTGTAAAGTTGCCTTGTGGTAACGTTGCAGCCCGTATTGTACCTTGTGAGGTCCTCGGAGGCACGTACAGCCCTTGTGACGGTGCCCCCCTTGACATCATACTACTTGATGCGCCTACACCACCCCCTCCTGTTGTCGCTGCCTTCTTGGAGCCACTCCACCCAGCTCCAGCACCATAAGATTTATGTGAATTCTTCCCTCCTCCAGCGGCAGCTCGCTTTGGAGAATAGATGTCCATGGAGCTGGGCAGACTTGAGACGACGAAGCCTCCGTTCTTGTTGCCTCCTCGCTTGGACGAAGACTGCTGGACGCCGTACGGGTTTTTCATGTACGACGACGGGGTCGAGTACGGATGAACTACAGGCGCTCCACCACCCAGTCGACTGCCGTGCGACGTCATGGAGACGCGGATGTTGTCGTGCAGGCCGATATACGTCATGTGCTCGGTGGAAATGGGCTGGCCGTAGTTGGTTGCTGCGTGGTGCTCTGAAATGGGGGGCACCGCTCCTGATGGCACCACCAGCTTCTTGTTCTGGGAGAACAGCGGGCTGGTGCTGCCATCGTTACCCCCGGAGCTGTTGCTAGACACACTCGTGGTTGTCGCTGTGCTGCTTGTGGTGGAGCTGGTGCTGGAGGAATTGTTCATCGCTCCTTGTAGTGTCGGTAAATGGTACGCACCCCCAGGGCCTCCAGTACCCAGACCGATCCCCGGGGGCGTCTTCCGTGGTATAATGTGCGCGTTGCTACTGGTGCTGTCCGGGGATGCCACGCCTCCTTTCTCCTTCCTGGTCGGCATGGCAACCACCGGAGCGAAGAGGGGTTTCCCGAGGGTTTTATCCATGACTGTGCTTGGTACAGGTATACCATTCGCCAACGGATCATTGTAACTGGACGAGGGTAGCGTAGCAGGCATCACGGGAACTGGACTAGCGACCGGATTCCCGCGCGAAGGCTTCCGAGATCGCTTTTTCCTTACGGCGGCGGTGTCATTTAAGTCCCGTGCAATCGCCTCCTGCAGTTCGGCCTCGAAGGCATCGTGCGAATTCTCGAAAAAGGGGTGTTTGAGCAGCTCCGCGCACGTCCAGCGGTCCAGCGGCTCGTCAATTATCGTCTGGCGGATGAAGTCCAGCGAGGTTTTATCCATCGTGGGGAATCGCGCCTCCAGAGGCTCGAGATCGCTAGCTTGGGGCAGTTTGACCCCCACGTATAGTGCATTTTTGCGGAAGAGCTCTTGTTGCCTGGACGTGATGTGTCCGAGACAGCGAATGATGTGGTAGAGCTGGTCGATGTCTGAATCCCCAGGAAATAGCGGCAATCCCGTGGCGATTTCAGCGAACATGCAGCCGATGGACCAGACGTCCACGCCCTTACCGTACGACACGTCTCCTACCAGCAGCTCGGGGGCTCGGTACCACCTCGTTGACACGTACTCCGTGTACTTGGCTCCGGCTGAAGCTAAAGGCCGCGCGAAGCCAAAGTCGCAGAGCTTGAGCACCCCGTTGCGGGACACGAGTAAGTTCTCGGGCTTGATGTCGCGGTGGATGATGTTGTGCTGATGGCAGAAGTTGATGGCGCGCACGAGCTGCCACATGAGCTTCTTGAGGGTCAGCGGGTCCAGCCCGTCCGGATGACGCTCAATCTCCTCCAGGATCGTCTTCTCCACGAACTCAAACACCAGGTAGAGCTTGCCCTTCATGCGGAAGACCTCGAGCAGACTCACGATGTTCTCGTGCTTGAGCTGCTTGAGGATCTTGATCTCGCGCAGGGCCGTCTTCTTGACCTGCTCGTCGTCGTCCGACTCTTTGAACTTTTTGATGGCCACGATCTGGCCCGTGACTTTATGCCGGCACTTGAGCACCACGCCGTACGTTCTAAAGATTATTAAGGTACAGAAGTTAGCGATCCCCTCCTCGGTCCTTTCGAATGGCTGCAATGCAGGACTCGCTCACCCTTCGCCGATCGTACCGAGACTTTCATAGTTCTCCATGCCGCCCCACCGGCACGGAGTCGGAAGCACTCCGTCGCAGTCACTTCAACGCGGACGACCGGAATGCTGCACCGTGGCTCAAGCAGCTCAATCCCTCGTCTTTTCTTGGAATCGAAGAGACAGCAGTTCGTTTCTAGCATTTCCTTCTGCATTGGTATTGATAGCTTCCAGCCACAACCCGCTAAAATTATCGCAACACGCTTTTGGCTGTGTCCTCTGTTGTATAGTTGCTCAACCATTAAGTGCACATAAAGACCAAACCTGGCCTGCTACCTGTGCGTTCGAGTATTTATCCCAGAGGTCGTCGACTTCCGCTTTGTGTACTCATGACTCATACGCTCTGGCAGCGCCACCAAACACGAATCTCAAGGTGATCAGTTTGCAAGTTTCTTTGCATTCTCGTCTTAAAGATCCGAGATCCGGTAAGTGAAGGGCGACACATCCAAAGCGAAGATCACTTGGGGTCGTAGACCTCAAACTTCCAGAATTGTTCTTCACTCTGAGTTCTTGACCCAGTTATAATAAACGTAAAGGTAAAATCGACCCCCTGAACGTAACATGAGGTTAGTTCTAACGTCAGACTCTCAGTGGCTGCAACAACACGCAACGCACCAAACTGAGCCACTCGGAAGGTCATCGTCAAGAAAACCCACGCGAGCAGTTTGCTCTGGATCAACTCCGCTTGGGACTCAAGCACAAACGCCAACTGATACAGCACGTTGAATCCCAGCTTCCTATAGACCAGGAGTGTCAGCAGCCCAAACGCCACCAACTCAACGGCCGCGAAAATGAACAGGGAGTCTATCGTGTCCCTGACGTTGTCCGTGGTCCCTCCAGAGAGTTCCGCGTGATATTTGGCGCTCGGGAGGTGCACCATCACCAATAAGAACGTGCCGTAGAAAATAGGGACTGCGGCATCGAGATATGCGGTCAGGACGACGCATTCGGTCGTACACATGACTTCTAACGCTTGGGATAAAGGCTCCGTATTCGGCGTGGAGTTCGATTGTTCTTGTGTCTGCTCGGTATCAATTTGGTGAGGAACTTCGCCTGGACGAGGAAAGCATAGAAGACGGTGGCGACCACGACGGTAAGTCGGACCCAGAAGCCGTAGTGGCCATACCACTTGACTGAAGGCTCTTGGAGAGGCACCGCTTCTTGGCCGATGACGGCCACTTGGACAGGAACCAGTACCCATAAGTAGACGCACACAACCCGTGGTAGTGATGCCGTTCGAGTGTACCTGTCCAGAGCCAGAAGACGCTCGGTGGAGTAGCGTCCACCGCGATAACTCACGTACGAGGCAGACCAAAGCCGCGAAAGCCTCTCGGCCCACGACCACCAGCCGCCGTCATTCTTCGTAACCAAAGAGTTCGAGGTCACCGCATGTACAACCTCCTCCGTTGGTGCAGGATGAATCATAGTTTTTAAATGGCTGCCTACTGAAATAGCTCAAAGATGGCTACACTTGGCCGCGACTGGCAAAAAAGTATCTTTGCGATCTTCAAGCGTCGCAATAGAGTAGAGTGGGTAGTTGCCATAGTTGCAGTCCCGATGCCCCAGCAGCAGCACAACCTCCGCGATGAACAGGACGAGGACGACGACGAGGAGGAGCAAGTGCGCGAGCGCGACCTGGTGGAGGCCTACGTGGCCGAGCACGCGCTCGAGTCCTCGCTGAACGACGTCATCAACCAGGTGGTGGCCAGTCGGCCGGAAGATCCGTTCCTCATGCTCTCGTCGCTGCTGTACGCGCGCGCGACGACCAAGCGCGGCATCTTCTTCGTGCAGGTGGCCGAGGTGCTGGACGCGTCGGGTGAGCCGACGGTGCTCGTGAGGCTGCACACTGGCAAGGGAGTGTTTGAAGGCTGCTGCTCCTCCGAAGCTGTCGGGATCACGGACCGGGAGTGCAGCGCGCAGTTCAAAGATCTTGACGCAGACGACAACGCAGAGGAAGGCGACACACCCACCTACGTTCCTCCCAACAAGCAGCGCTACGGCGGTCATGGTTACGCCAAAATTGCAGCGATAGCCCAGGAGCTGCTGATCGAGAAGCTCGTGAACACAGAGCCGTCCGACCAGGGAGCTCTGGACGACGTCCTGCAAGGCCTGGAGGCCACGGTAGGGCGCAATGTGTGTCTGGCCACGTCGCTGGCCATTTGCCAAGCTGGGGCCAAGTACGCGGAGCTGCCGCTTTGGGACTACGTGGCCAAGCTGCAGGAGCTCCCGCCGGAGAACCAGTGCGTCCCCATGCCGCTCTTTAGCGTCGTGAATGGCGGCAAGTACGCGTCCAACAAACTGTTCGCGCAGGAGGTTCTGATGACGCCCACGAGCGCCGCGAGCTTTGCAGACGCACTGCAGATCGCTGTCGAGTTCAACACCGCACTCCGCGTGCAGCTTGAGACTCACGGCGTCGGCTTCACCAACCGAGGGGCGTTCGGAGGCTTTGCTCCGCAGCTCCAGACACTGGCGGAAGTGTTTCAGATCCTTCGAGCAACTCTGGACGAGGTTCGAGCGCGACTGGAAGACCCCGACGGGGCTGCGATCTCACTGGCCAGTGCGTCTCCGCTCCGAGTGGACTTTGGTGTCGACTTCGCCGCGTCCGAGTTCGTCTTGCAGCAGACGCGAACGGACGGCGAAGGCGCGGACCAGAACGACGAAGACAACGACACGCCGCGGTCGTTCACGTACAACACGGACCGGTGGGTTCCTGGATCAAGCGGCGCGCTCAAGAACAGCGACGAGTTGCTGGACATTATGCGCAGTAGCGTGAAGGAATTGGAGCTCACCACGGTAGTCGACCCGTTCGACGCTGGAGACATCAAGAGCTTCGCCGCTCTCCACAGCGCTGAGAACGACGTGGATGGCAGCGCTCTGAACTCTGGAGACCCGGTTGATGCTGCCAATGAGGAAGTGAAGGGAAACAACGCGGGTCTTGGTGGTGACCCGAACTGCCGCGTGCAGATTGTAGGGCGGAATGCGGTGGAGCGTTACGGTCTCTCAGCGCTGAACGAAGAGCGCGCGTGCAACACGGTGCTTCTCGTCCTGCACCAGTTCCCGACTGTCACAAAGTTGCTGCAAGCCATCACGAACGCGCAGCATCTCGGACTTGCTGTCGTCTTAGGCGCTTCAGGGGGACAATTAGGTGCCGACGCCGAGATTCTGAGCGCTCTAGCCATGGGCTCGGGCGTTGGTCAGGTCAAGTTCGGCGGAGTGCTGGGTGCTGAGTGTTTGGACAGATATCGGAAGCTGCTGCTCGAGAGCCAAGAGCCTGGCGCTCCACCATTCGTAGGTGCCAAAGCCTATCGTCGGTAACGCAATGTGCTTACACTTTGATTGTATTTTATGGTTACTTTTGTCGTGAGGCAAGTAGAATTGGATTGTTTCACACGTGCCTCTCGCCGTCCTCCTCCTCCTCTTCTTCTTCAACGGATTCATCCAGGTCGAATGACTCGTCCATGTAGTCGTTCTCCGCCTCACTAGCGCTGTCATCGTGAATCGCGGGGATCGCTGCCAAGTTCGTGGTCTGCTTCGCCGGTGAACTCATCACGCCTTCGTGGTAGGCGACTGCTCTGCCAGCAAAGTCGGACGTGTGTGCTCCGAGCGAACGTGAAGGGATTTGGGCGCCGACTGGCGCGTCGTCGTGCAACGGGATTGAGATCTCGCCGAACTCGTCGTCCTCCTCGCTCGACCGGATCGAAGCTTGAGCGAACTCGTCGTCCCCGTAAGACTGGATGGACGCCCCATCAAACTCGGTGGCGGTTCGCGACCGTAGAGGAGATCCGCCGACTTCATCATTTCTAGCCATACGCAATAGGGCGGCAGCAGTCTCCGCCTTGTGCTCGTCTTGCGCGTTGAAGCTGTGCATTGCTGCATCAACCCCATCGTCGCTTAGTGGGAGCGAAGTTTCACCGAATTCGTCCTCTTCCTGCGATGCTTGACCGAATTCGTCGTTGCTGCTGTCCTTGTGAACTCGGGACTGAATCGATGGCTGGCCGAATTCGTTTGTCTCCAAGGACGCCTCACCAAACTCATCGACGTCTTGCAATCTCGACAAGATCGAATCATCCGACCGAGACACGATCGAGACCCCGCCGAATTGGTCTTCGCCACGGGAAATGGAGCGAAGTGATGTCTCTCCAAACTCGTCCTCCTCATGCGCGATAGAAGCGATCGGCGCGCTACCACGAAGTCCCTTACTCTCGCTTTCAGTTGACTGGATCGAGGCCTCTCCAAGGTCGTCTCCACGCGATTGAAGCGAAGTTTCACCGAACTCATTGTCATCATTGCAGCTCTGGGACTGAAGCGATGTCTCTCCAAACTCGTCATCGTCAGTAGCAATTGGCCTTGTGAGTCGACTTAACTGTGGTAGTCGCTGCGTCTTCATAGTGGATCGACTTTGTTCCAGAAGTAGGCGCTCAACTTCATCCATGTCATCGTCTTCTTCGAGATTCAGGCGGCGGGTTCCCATGCCAAAGCGACTTAGGCCCGATGAGAATGTCGGTGGACTCTGCACAGTCATCGTCTCCTCTTCCTCCGAACTTCCTTCGTCGTCCTCCATGCGAAGCGCCATCGCTGGCGCTGCTGCTGCTACTTCCCCGCTTTCGCTATCGTCGTCGCCATCGCCCTTCGTTATGGCGCTGCTCAGAGAACGCTCGGCTGCACGAAGCTGCTCTTCCGACCACTCACCCTCGTCTTCACCATTGTCCATGCGTTTCGTTGGCTGCACAGTTGACTCCGAGTTCACACTACGCTCCTGCTCGAGATCCAACGCAACATCCTCATCAAACGAGCTCTCTGCGAGTGGATCCGCATGAGAGACAGCGACTGCGCTCACACGCTCATTGCGGTAGCGGGCACCATCGTCTTCATCATGCTGTGGATCATCGTAGGTATATCGGCTCCCAAAGGTATGCCGGGAGATCACGGGCTGTGCACTTACATCGCCTGCCAGCCTGGATGCGAGTCTTTCAAGCGCATCATCTTCGTCAGGTTGGCTCATGAACGCACCACTCGCTGGGTTTGATAGAGATGCATCGAGCTCTGTGCCACCGATTGACTCGTCCAGAGCGTCAGCTTCATGGAGGTGATGAGCCAGTGCTGCATTTTCCACACTCGAAGCCGAGTCTTCTAACGCATTATCGACATCTGCACTCACGCGTTCCAAGCTGGAACCGGATTCTTCCATCATGGGATTGCTCGCTACGGCGTCATCGTTCATGCTCGAGGACGATTCTTCTAGTGCGCCTGCTTGTTCTAGTTCATCCTCGTCATCATCTCGGCCTCGGGCCAAATCTCTCTCCAAGGTTGTGTTCGACTCTCCCGATCGCGATGGCATTGCAGTTGCCTCGACCTCGTGCTGAGTACCGAAATTGTTATTTATTCCATCCGTGTCTCCTTCAAGCGAGCGGGTCGAGCACTCATCGAATTCGTCCTCTACCTGGGATACCTGGCCGAACGTATCGTCGTCATGGCGTCGGGACTGAATCGATACTGGGCCAAACTCGCTTATACTCTGCGACTTGAAGGACGACTCACTAAACTCATCGGCATCCTGCAATCTGGATAGCATCGAAGCGACCCCAGACACGCCAACTTTGCGCGACCCCGTAGTGGCCGATGCTCCATCAAGCCTGCTCTCATGGGATTGAACGAAGCGTTCTCCAGATTCATCGGCATTAGATTTGATCGAGGCCTCGCCGATGTCATTGTCGTCACGCGGACTGGAGCGAATTGATGCCTCGCCAAATTCGTCCTCGTGCACGCTTGAGGAGCTCGGCTGTCGGCCACTCAGTGCTTTATTCTCGCTTTCAGTCGACTGGATCGAGGCCTCGTCTTCAAATTCGTCGTCTTCACGCGATTGAATCGACGCTTCACCAAACTCATCGTCATTGCCACTCTGATACTGAAGCGATGTTTCTCCGAACTCATCCGTAGTAATTGCTCGTGCGGTAGTGAATCTATTCAGCTGCGGCAGTGTCTTCTTGGTGGATTGACTTTGTTCAAGGAGTAGACGCTCAACTTCATCCATGTCATCGTCTTCCTCAAGGTTCAAACCACGACCTCCCATGCCGAATCGACTAAGGCTCGATGAGAAGGTCGGTTGGCTTGGCACAGGCATCGTCTCCTCTTCCTCTGAGCTGTCTCCGTCGTCTTCTATGCGACGGGACATGGCTGGGGCTGGTGGTGGTGCTACCGCTGCTGCTGCTGCTACAACACTGTCACTATCGTCGTTGTCATCGCCCGTCATTACGGCGCTGTCTAGCGAACGCTCAGCTGCACGAAGTTGCTCTTCAGACCACTCGTCCTCGTCTTCATCATGGGGCGAGTGCTTCGTTGGCTGTGAGGTTGGTTCAGAACCCGCACTGTTCTCCTCTTCGTTCTGATCCGAGAGATTATCCTCATCAAACGAACTCACAGCGAGTGGATCCGAGTGGGAAACAACCAGTCGGCCCCGTTCATCGTGGCGGTGGACACCATCATCTTCATCAGGCTGTGATGACAACGGACCACCGTGAGTATATCTGGTAGCTTCATGGGCATTGCTTTCCAGTCTCGATGCTGAAGCATCGTCTTCATGGGGCTCACTCATCGACTGGCTTCTCGCAGTGTTCGATGATGATGCCTCCGATATGTCATGCTCGTCGCCGTAACCCACACTACCAACCGATTCTTCCAACTCGTCAGGTGCATGAAGTTGGTCTGCAACCTCTGCATTTTCCACACTCAAAGCTGAGCCTTCTACTGCCTGGGGGTCGTCATCGTGTACTTCTGCGCCAACGTTTTCCAAGCTAGACGACGCTGAATCTCCCAACATGGTATTATCTTCGTAATGTTGCTGTGCGTAAGTGCTTCTCGTAGCGTTGGATGGTGGTTCTTCGTCTGGTACTTCGTAGTTATCTGGTAGTTCTTCGTCCATCGCTTTGCTCGTTACACTTGCTGATGATTCTTCCAACGCATCATCACCTATCAAGCTTAAGGCTGATCCTTCTAGTGCGCTGTCCTCGTCAGAGTCGTTCTCATGAGCGGGAACAGCCCTCTCCTCACTGGACGACATGTTACGCAGTGCCACGTCTTCCTTGAGTCGGTCGTCCACTACATCGCTCCCCTCGCTCAATGCTGGCGATGATTCTTCCAATGCGTTATCCTTATCCTTGGTATCGCGGTACCCAGCCACATCGTTCGCCACGCTTGGTGTTGATTCCTCTAGTGATTCGCCTTGTTCATATCGATCCGCCATTGCGCCAATCTCCACGCTTGACGCTGAAACTTCGACATCGCTGCCTTCGTGATACCGAGCTCCGGCCACACTCTTTTCCACGCTAGATGCTGAGTCTTCTACCTCATCCTCATGGTGGTCTGTCACTAATTCGTCAAATGTATCTTCATTCGCAGCGGCGTGACTAGCGCTTGATGCTGTCGATTCTTCAAGTGCATGCTCGCCTTCGTCATGTTTTTCAAGTGTACGCTCATTAACTGAAATCTCGCTGTCCGACAGATCATCACCACCATCAAATGAGTTTTCCAGCTGCGCGTTGTGCTCAACTGGCGTTGGCTTCCCAACCGCGCTGTCATGCCCAGCACCGACATCAGAGTCAAGGTTGTTGCGAGTGTCCATACTTTCATCCTCATCCCTTTCCGACATCATCGAGTCATCGAACGAGCTCTCCGCCATGGCGTCCTGCGCTACAAAGCCATCGGAGCCCGACTTGTCAGCTTCTTCTACTTCATCGCCGCGCATTGAGCGATGCTCCACGTTATAAGAGTTTGGTTCGTTGCCTTCGAGTGCAGCCATCATGGCATTATCGAACGAGCTCTCCTCGAGAGGATCCAGCTCCTGCTCATCCTCTTCCCCTTCCTCTTGCTGCGAGCTCGCGTCTTGGCTAGCATCTAGCTCAGCATCGCTCTGTTCAGTCTGAACAATTGTCATAGAGTTTGTGTTCATGTCCGTGCCGGCTGCACGACCACCATCCTCCAGCTCAGAACCATCGGACGAGACCTCGTCTATTAGCTTATCATCAAGCACAGCCCCTTGCTCTGAGCTTGCGCCTTGCTGCGCGTCACTCTGTTCAAGCCGATCAGCTGCTTCATGACTTGTGTTAATGTCTGCGCTGGCGTCCAGTTCATCATCATCACCACCATCATTAGTCACTGCTGTCTGCTTCTGCTCCGTCTTGTCACGAGCAAGTTCATTATCATGTGCAAATTCATCACTGCTATCAAATTCATTATCAATACGTGGGTTCACCTGCTTACTAGAGTGCGCAAGACTCTGCTCCAGCATCAGCCTCTCCACTTCATCCATGTAGTCGTCCTCGCCATCGCCACGAAAGCCCAGCGAGCTCCACCTGGACGCAGTCTTGGCCTCCTCAATCTTGCGGTCGACACTCGACTCCAGTCCACCGACGCCATCACCACCTTCATCATCATCGTCACTCCTATCCTGCCTGCTCTTGAAACTGTCCTCCGCAACATCATCGCTAGAATCTTCATCGTCATCAAGGTTAGACATCGCTACAGCTCGCTCCTCACGGCTTATTTCCTGCTCAGCACGCACAACATGTTCAGCGACCCCCAACTCAGCATCAGTTCCGGATTCGTCATGACTTAAGTCGCCAATCGAATCCTCCCCCTCCCCATCCACATTGTCAGAACTCGCACCTTCTGCCTCGACATCCACAGGGCTCTCCTGCTCCACGTCAGGCTGATCCACGTCGTGCTTGACACCCTCCTCATCTAATTGCTGCTCCGACTCGTCAAAGTAGTTCTCCTTCGCCTTCTCCAGCGCAAGCGCAATCGCCGCGCCGTCCACAGACGAGTTCTGCGAGCTTGGGGCAGCCGGGACCACTCCGTCATCCGTACTCACGCCGCTAACGCGAGCCTTGGAAACTCCATCCGGGAAGACCGAAGTCGATCCATCGTGAAGGTCCAACACAGCGTCTCGTAACCGCGACTCCACGTTCCGGAGCTTCTCCACAATCTCAGGGGCAATCGACGCGTACTTCTGCATCCACCGGAAATCGTTCAGTAGGTTGCTATCGCTACCCGAACCGTGGGCCACAAGCAGCGCGTTCAGGAACTCGGCGTTCATCAGCACTTCCTGCTCTACCGACTGGACCTTGGCCATCTCACGAGCGCTCTCGGCACGGACGCGAGTCAGCTTCTCCTCTTCGTCAAAGACGCTGGCGCGGAGCTCGCTCCACTCCATGATGCCGCAGCAAGCCGTCAGCTTCTGGTACAGCGACTGCACTTCGGCCGTCAGCGTCACAATCTCCTGGCGGGTAGCAGTGAAGTCCTTCTCCAGGTTAGCGACGTTGTTCTCGTCCGGCGTGAGCGCGGCAGTGCGCTCTTCGAGGTCCTTGAGTTTGCTCTGCAGCTCGCCCAGGTCGTGGTACTTGACGTTCTCAACCGCGCGGATCTTCTCACGGACGGCTGCCACAGCGGCTGTCAGCGTCTTGTTCTCGGTACGGAGCTCCTCCACTTCGCGCTCCTTCATCTCCGTGCGTCGCTGGTACGACACCTCGCGCTTAGCGCGGTCCTTCTCCTCCTCCTGCAACTGACGCTCAAGCTGGCGCTTCTCCTCACGCAGAGTCACCATCTCCTCGCTGAACTCATCCGATCCCTTGGCAATGATAGCGGACTTGTGGTACTGTTCCTTCAGCTCCTCGCGGAGCTGCTCCACGACAGACTCGAGCTCGCGGATCTGTGTCTCGTGCTCCTTGACCTGGCTGTCCAGCTCCTGCGCCGTAGCGCTGTCGGCTGCCGCCTGCTTCACAGTCAGCTCGTATTCAGCCTGGAGACGTTCCAGCTCGTGCGCAGTGCGACGGTGCGTCGCGTACAGGGCGTCAAGGTGGTGCGTGATAGCGTCGTCGTCGCTCATATCGCCACTCTCCTCGATCACTTCGTTATCGCCGGACGCGTTCGCGGCCTGAACCAACTCCTCCAGAATACGCTTGAGACGCGACTGGAGCTGCTGCTCGCGGTGCTGGGAAGCCTTCAGCGCCGTCGTCAACTCGGTGATCTGGTCCGTCAGCTCGGAACGAGCAGCCTCCAGCTCCTTGTTCGACACCGCCTTCAGCGACTTGACATCCGCGTTCAGCTTGTCGATGGTGTCCTCCAGGTCCTGCTCGCGAGCACGAGAGCTCTCACGCTCCTGGTTCAGCTTCAGCGTAAGCGAGTCGATCTGAGAGACGTAGCGGCTCTGCATCTCCTCCTGCGCCATCGCCATCTCAACCAGCTTCTGCCGGTTGGTCTCGTCCGACTGCTTGGCCTCCTTCAGCTGCGTATGCTTCTCCTCCAGAGTGCTCGACACCTCGCTGAGCTCAGCGCGAAGCCTGTCGACTTCGGCCTGCATCTGACCCTTAATTACAGCCAGCTCCTCCTCCTTCTCAGCAGAGGCGCCACCAATGTTGGCCTCCATCTGAGACACCTCTCCCTCCAGACGCGTCTTCGTCTCCTCCAGCTCCAGAATCTGGGCCGTGCACTCGTCGATCTTGCTGCGAGCCTCCTTGACCTCGTGCGTCAGAGTCGATACCTCACGCTGGTGCAGAGCCTCCTGCTTCTCGAGCTCCTTCTCCAGCTCAGTGATCGTGGCCTTGGTCGTCTCGAGTTCGGACTGAGCACCCTCCAGCTCTGAGATACGCTCCTCAAACTTCGACTTCATCGCGGCAAACTGCGTTGCGTGCTCCAGACGGAGGTTCGTCTCCGTGCTCAGAGTGACACGCTCGTGCTCGATCTGCGCGCGCTGGATCTGCTCCAGCAGATCGTTCTTCTCGTCCTTCAGCGCAGCCAGTTCGTCCTCAAGCGCGTCAAGGTTGCTCTTCTCAACCAGCGTGTCGCGCAGCTGACGCATGGCCTGCTCCTTGCCCGCAATCTGCTGCTTTAGCTCGCCAATCTTCTCGTCGTAGTCGCTGGACAGCTTGGTGATAGTGTCTTCCATGATCACCTTCTGGCTCTCCTTAGCTGCGTTGAACTCCTCAGTCATCTCTTCCAGCTCCTGCTTCAGCTCGTCCTTCTCAAGCTGGCTTTCAAGCAGCAACTTCTCCAGTTCGTTGCGCTCTTCAGTGCTGGCAGCGGTGAGGGCAGCCTGCTTCTTCATCTCGTCACCGTTCTGGAGTGCCCGAGCAACACGCTCCATCTCCTTCAGCTTCAGCTGCGCGATGAACAGCTCGTGCTCCTTCGTAGCCTTCACACGACGAACAGTCTTGGCCTCACGCTTCGACAGATCCAGCATCTTAGCGGACGCCGTCTCGATACGCTTCAGAGTCTTGGTCAGAAGTCCGACTTGCGTCTGCTTCGCCTGCAGCTCCGACGTCAACTGGCGGACCTTCTTCTCCTTCTCGCTCTCCAGGTTGCGGATCTGTTCACGCACCTCGGCAACTTCCTTCTTCGACTTGCGCACCAACTCGTTCTTCTCCTCGTTCTCCGCCTTTTCACGCGCGAGCAGGTTCTCCAACAGCGAGTTCTTGCCCTGCGCCACACCCATCAGCTTGCTCTCCTCCTGCAGCTTCTGCATCAGCTCCAGACGTTGATCCTCCTTCTGCTTCTCCGTCTCGGTCAGCGAACTGCGAAGCTCCTTCAGTCTAGCCTGGAACTGCTGCTCCTCGCTAGCGAAACGGCGCTCCACTTCAGCCTTGGTGGTAGCCAGCGCCTCCAGCTCCGCCACCGAGCGGGCCAAGCGCTGGCGAAGCTTGTCGTTCTCCTCCTCCCTGTCGGCCGAGCTACGGCTCAGCCGCTGGCTGGCCTCCACCTTCACCTGGCTCATCGTCTCCTGCAGGTTCTTGGTCGCCTCCTCCAGCTTCTTCTGCTTCTTGGCGAGCTCCGACAGCTGATCATCGAACTTGTTGGACTTCTCCTTGTTGCTGCTGGCAATCTGCTCCAGCTTTTCCTCCATCACCGCAGCCGCGCTGCGCTGCTGGCTCTGCAGCGCCTTGTTGAGCTCAGTGCGCGCGTCAGCCAGCTCGTCACGAAGTGTAGCGCTTGCCAGCTTGGCATCCTGCAGCTTCTTCTCCTGGCGGTCCAGCGCGCTGGAGAGCTGGACCAGGTCCTCCTTGCTCTGCGTCTGCGCGTTCTGCAGCGGGAGCAGGTCGCTCTTGCGCAGCGCCGAGCTCTGCAGACGCTGGATATCGTCCGACAGGTCGTTCTTAAGGGCCGCCAGACTCTCCTGGCGCTGCGAGAACGACTGCTTCTCGAGGCTCGAGACCTTCTGCTCCATCTTCTCGGCCATGCGCATGACATTCTGGGCCAGGCGGTCCTCCATCTCGCGGAACTCGCGCGTGAGACGGATGCTCAACAGGTTCTCCACCGCCTTCATGTCCACCAAGCTGCCCATCTGGCGGTGCATGAGCTGCACCCTGTCTGCGAGCTTGAACAGACCCTGCTCCTGTTTCTGGCGGTTGGCCACCAGCGCCTCAATGTTGTCCTCCAGCGTCGAGATCTTCATGGTCGAGGACGACAGCGCCTTGACGCGGGATCCGAGCTCCGCCAGCTCGCGGTCCACGCTCACTTTGCGGCCAAGCAGGTCTGCGCTGTGCTCTTCGAGGCGAGCGATGGCGGCGGCATTGGCCTGCACGCTAGCGATGATCTTGGGGTCGGAGACCGAGGGCGCGCTAGCCGACGGGTGGCTGTTGGCCGACACCAACACGGCGTCGCGCAGCTCCGTGATTTGCGAGGCCAGCGACGACGTCTGCGTGGTCAGGCCGGCCACGTCCGTGCGCAGGTCGGCGACTTTCTTGTCCACAGCGCCGTTGCGGGACGCGAAGTGGGTCTCCAGGCTCTTCTTGACCTCTTCGATGACGTGCTTTGGGACGTCGCTGGGGATGTCGGAGTCCGGGACGCGGATGCGGGGGCCCATGCTGGCGCCGAGAGGACGCGCGTGCGGCACGCGCCCGTCTGCTCCAAGGCGGCGGCTGAGGCGTGACGAAGCGCCACTCATGGAGCGCGTCTCGTCTAAGTCGTAACGCGGCCGCGGGGCGCCCAGGTCGGCCATGGCCATGGCGCCAGCGCCGCCCGCAGACGCCCGGTGCTGCTGCAGCATAGCGGCCGTCAAGCCGCCGCCACCGGCGATGCCCACGTGCGGACGGCCGGAGGCGCTGGCCACGCTGCCGTGGCCCGAGTCGAGGCGCGAACGGCCCAGGCCCTGGTTGCTGGACATGGAGCCGGTGTCGTCGTCGCCGCGTACGAAGGCCTTGGGTCGGGCCGAGGCACGCGAGGACACGGAGCCGCTGTCATCGTCTGCGCGAATGAAGGCCTTGGGTCTGGCGGACGCGCGTGACGACACGGAGCCCGAGTCGTCGTCCGCGCGGATGAAGGCTTTGGGCCGAGCTGAGGCGCGTGACGAAACGGAACCACTATCATCATCCGCGCGGATGAAGGCCTTAGGCCGAGCTGACGAGTGCGAAGACACGGAGCCTGTGCCGTCGTCTCCCACGTACACGCGCGGGCGCGCCGACGTGTGCGAGCCCATGGAGCCCGTGTCGTCGTCGCCGCGCACGTAGGCCTTGGGGCGGGCCGAGCCGTGCGATCCCATGGAGCTGGTGTCGTCGTCGCCGCGGATGAAGGCGCGCGGGCGGGCCGAGGAGCGCGAGGACACGGAGCCGGCGTCGTCCTGGGCGCCGACGTACGCGCGTGGGCGGGCCGACGAGTGCGAGGACACGGAGCCCGACGCGGAGCCCGAGCGCGCGAGCGTGGGCGCCGTCATGGACACGTCGGGCGCGCGCACCTGCGGCTTGTCGCCGATCTTGCGCAGCAGCTTGAGGTTGTTGTTGGTCTTCTCGATGATCGAGGACAGGTCCGAGTCCCAGGACGCGCTCATGGCGGCCGAGGGGGTGCCGAAGCGAGAGTGAGGGCCGGCGGCTGGCGCTTGGGGCGAAACGGCGCTGCCCGGTCGAGAGGCTAGAGCGGGCGCGCAGCAGGAAGCAGCGCGTCTTACCGGCCTGGGTTTAGCCTTACCTTGCTGGGCGGAACCGGAAGTGGGGGAGCGCCGTCCAGTTGTCCGGGCCCGCCGCGATCAGCTGCCGACAGCCCCTCGGCATTTGGCAGCATGCTCTTTGCACCCGACTCTGCCAGACATACTGAAACCAAGTTAATCCCCGGCTATACGTGTATGCCCATACCAGGGGTGTTGAAGCGTTGTTTTGCTGCGACTTGTGCGGGACGTTCGCAACGCTGGCCAATGCTGACCGAGGTGCTGTTCGTCAATGCGCAGTGCAGGCGCTTGTAGTGAAGGCTGCGCATTGCTTCTTCAACCGGTCTCCAGTCACTGGGTCGAACTGGCCGCGGCGGCCAGCGCTCGGTCGCTTGGTCGCCTTGCGTGCCATCATCTTCAAGGACACCCTGCCGCAACGAAGCCTCCGGGTAGGAAAAGGAGCGCGGTGCTACTGGCACTGTTAACTTATAGGTGTGGCGAGGTGGGAAGCATTCGCCAGACTTGGCGCGTCCCACGTGGACCAACGAGCCACCCGTCAAAATGGAGCTGATACTACCTTGCGGTGGACACGGTACATCAAGTAGCTATGAAGCTCAGCAGCAAGTTGCTGCCAGCAACATATCGTTGGCCCCGGATATTTGTAAGCTCGAGCGCGGTCGGCGCCGCTGTCAATTGCCGCCACCTTCGTCACCTCGCCAGCTCGATTTTTCATCGAGTGTCGGGTGTCGAGTTGACATCATCAACACGACGCATCGCTCTCGGTGGTCAAGTTGAGCCGCGCCGCGATAACAACGTATCAGCACGCCAGCTCGGGCCCTCGGCTTCTTCCTGAAGCTTTGCACGCTCATGCGCTCACCGCTTCTCGGCGTCATCTCGGTCGCAGCAAGTCGCAGCCATCTGGGTTCTATCCTCTCTACGCGGGCCAATCCCCTCTTCAAGAGACTAGCCCCTCACAATACAATATCTGCCCAGTCCAGCAGAGCAGCGGAGACCATGAGCACCAAGGGCAAGTGGCTCACCATCGAGCAGAAGTGCGAGGTCATCGCGCAGCACCGGCGCGAGCCCGGCATGAGCTACACGCAGCTGGCCGAGTGGACCAAGGCGCGCTTCGAGCTGTCGGTGGCGCCAACGCGCCAGACCATCCGCAACATCGTCAAGGCCGCGGCCGACATCGAGGCCAAGCGCCTGAGCGGCAACGTGTCGGCCAAGGGCCGCCGGCCCTGCGTGCGCTCGCAGGAGCTGGAGACGCGCCTGGAGCAGTACGTGGTCGACTGCCAGCAGAGCGACGTGCGGCTCACGCGCCGCCTGCTCAACACGCGCGCGCGGGAGATCCTGGACGAGCTGCCCGACGCGCCGGCGCACAACCTGTCGGTGGGCTGGCTCACGCGCTTCATGAAGCGCCACGGGCTGAGCTTCCAGAAGGACAGGGAGGACGCAGTGGAGGGCGCGGTCATGGTACCGGCGCCTGTCCCCGTCGGACTTGCGGTGATGGTGGAGGGCGGAGCGACGAGCGCTGCTGCGGCTCAAGGGCAGATGCAACCAGGGATGGAGCACGCGGTGGACGCGGACGCGGAGCGAGCGCGCGTGGAGACGATGCGCCAGAAGGCGACAAAGAGGCTGCGCGAGATCGAGAAGGAGGCCAGGGAGATCAGGAAGTACCTGCGCCAGCTCGACGCGGTGCCCGCTGTACCTGCAGTGCAGACGGAGGCAGCCGATGGCCTGAACCCTTAGCGACTCATTAATCTATTGGCGCGTGTACTATTTGGTTATCTGTGTATATGTATGAAAAGCTACCATTCTGCAAGCCGTAAGTGAATACTGTACTCGAGACAGAAGACTGAATTGGTCGGAAGTGTTCACGCTGATCGCGCTTGCTAGATCTGTGACGTCTGCAACACCAGCCGAAGTCCTCCGCTGGAAGCTCGATACCGCTGGAAGTGCTGTTGCACGCGGTGTGTATGGAGAGCTGCCGCCATGGCGCAGTACGACGTCAACAGCACGCGCTGCTTTCCTTCCTCCAGGAAATACCCAACCTGCAACAGACAAGCATGAAAAACGTGAGCGCCAACTTCACGGAGGCTCGTAGCGCAAGTGTGCTTACCTCGACCATCGGCGCTTCCTCGTTGCACTCACTCAACGCGACGGGGTAGTCCAAGGCCCACGCCAGCTCCTGCTCCTGCACTAGCCTCGACGCGCTTGTAGTGTCCACTGTAGCTACTTGCACGCCTGCTGTCGCGTGTAGTGTGACGGCAGCGAGGCGGAGGGTGCGTTGTGCGGCCGCGAACTCTGGATGCAGCGTATTAGCCAGCACGAGATCGCCCGTGAGCTCGTACTCGGCTGGCGTCTCGAGACGAATACCGACTGAATACAACGCCACCGAGCATGGTGACGAACCGGTGGCTGGCATCGCACCTTGCACCTCTAGCAGCAGGCCGCTGGGTACGACCACGTCGCTCGCGAAACTCTGGCGCCACGTTGGAGGCAGGTTGGACAGCAACACGCAGGGCTTGAGGCTGCAGAGCAGGAAGAGCACCTCGCCGAAGAAGCTCATGGACTCGGGCTGCAGACCGAACCGCACCACGAACGCCTGCAGCTCGTCCGCCGGTCGGGACTTCCACCAGCGCATCTCCAGGTCACGGAACCGTTGACACACTCGCAACTTTCCACACGTGAGTCGGTGGCCATTCTTCCAGTGGTCCCGTTGGCACGTTTTCGAGCAATACGCGGTCCATTTGCACTGAGAGCAGCGAGACAGCGCCTTGTCCGTGGATTGACATGCACTGCAGACGTTCACCATCCTTGGGCTCTTCTCAACTTACCCTTTGTACGGGCACGATCCCTTCTACAAGAGACTACCTAAATCTTGAGGTGTACAAATTAGTTTTGAGAGGACATGGGATCTAAACCAAGAATACTAACTTTTAACCTTACTTCCCGGGCTAGATACGAGGTGTATATTTTTCCTGTCCCATAATCAAACATCTTTTTTTTGTATGCACCTTCATCTAAGTACGGAGTTTGAGGTGCGGGTTGGGGGTGGGTACGAGAGCAGACGTGTGGGCATAGGTCTGACATATTCAACATACAGGTGTCTTATGTACTGTACCAGTAGGCAACTGTACTGGTAGGCAAAAAAGTCATATCACATCGCTTATGATGGTCTAAACAGCATAGAATATGTCCCGGTTATTGGTAGGCCCATCTTTGCATTGTTGCACACGTCCAGCAATCATAGCAGAACTATATCTACACTGCGCGACAAAAGGTTTGGGACAGCGACACTTTGTACAATATCTCAGCTTCTAGAAGGAGTTGTGTGACTTCGATATGTTTCTCCAATCAGATTGCTTTACACGCGACATATGACGCGCGCTCGGATTTCCCATTGGGTAGGGTGGCTCCCATACAAATATGTCGAATTGGCACCGCGACAAAACTTTGGGACAAAGATTTATCTTGATTAAAGTATAGGTGCCTGTGATGGTGAGGTCAACTATTTGCAGGTTTGGGCACAGGAAGTAGGATGAAGCGCACATTATGGGCGTTGAAGCAACACTTCAGGATCCGCCATGGTAACTAGGACTACTCAGGTGAAGTATAACATAGCCGACAGAAAGCTGAGCTGCCCCGAGTATTTCCTGGACCCTCATGATGCAATACAGACATGGTATTACCGTTAATACATATTTTGATACAAATCATATTGGTTTAGTGCCCTTCGTATTTTGAAGGGCTCCTGAAGGCTACTAGAGCTCAGTAGGAGAGGCAGGAGGCACTCCAAGTTGCCAAACCATTAGTACACGTTGTATTGACTCGGTTTGGGTAGCAGGGGTGCACGTCCTCACGCTCACCGCCCATTTAAGAGCAACTAGCGACCTTGTTTTACTTGATCCTGATAGTTAACGTGTCCTCACCATCACAGGCACCTATAATTTAATCAAGATAAATCTTTGTCCCAAAGTTTTGTCGCGGTGCCAATTCGACATATTTGTATGGGAGCCACCCTACCCAATGGGAAATCCGAGCGCGCGTCATATGTCGCGTGTAAAGCAATCTGATTGGAGAAACATATCGAAGTCACATCCTACAACTCCTTCTAGAAGCTGAGATATTGTACAAAGTGTCGCTGTCCCAAACCTTTTGTCGCGCAGTGTAGCCAATGGTACGAAGAAGAATGCACCGTTTCAATTGATGACGCATTACAGTGCCTCCTACACGCACGCGTAGACAAACCATTTGCATGCCTTTGCTGCCACGTACTGTCGCATTGACTTCGTTACGCCGTTAGCTGGTACACACATTGTAGATGGATCCAGCTACGTTGGTGTCGCGTTACCCCTTCTCGCCGCCAGCGCTGTCTAGACTCAAGCGCTGCCACTAATACTATCCGCGACACCTGCATTGCACGGGCCGCAGTGATGGCGTCATTGCTACTCGAAGTAATATGATTTGAACGAAATATCAAGCAAAGCCACATTGGTATTATGTTATACGGTGTAACATACCAATTCAAACCTCAACGCATAAGTTGGCTAGGATCCAACATAAGCACTAGCAACAACAACAAAAAGGTTTTCGTGGCAAGCCAAGCTCGCCACGACAACAACGACACCAGCGTAGGGACAACTAAAGCAAGTGGGGGCGTCGCATTCCTGCCTTCCAGTACTCTAACTCGGTGCAGCATCTTCCGCAGCCAATGACCCTCCGTCATGTGTAGTGGTGTTTTCGGTGAGCACAGCAAGTTCAATACCGCATTCCTTTTGTCAAGGCATACTACATGTCAAGGCATACAGCCCTATTTAGCCAATCATAGAACAGTATATTCGAATCGGGAAACTTTGTGTGCATGAAAGTATTTATATCACATATCATCATTTGTACTTGACATTTGTATGAAATCGACTTTTTTATACCAACATGTTGTGCCGACTCAGTTAACCAGGACACGAAAATCGCCACCTATATCACCGAATCAGGCTGTATGCCGGGAGTGGTTAGAGCAACCATAAGTATGGTAGAATATCGTGTCCGTTCGGACATCTAGAATTTCGCATTACAATAGTACACTAGCGCTTGGCCTATCAGAAGACTTTCTCATATTTTGTGAGCCAATCGACGTGCCTCAAATCTCATGCTGTGCCGTAAGTAACAAATCGGACAATTCGGACATATTTTGTCCGAACATCTGAAAAATATTTTATATTTCTATAGTTAAAGTCAGTAAGTCAAATATTCTGAAAATATCGTCAATATTCGGACACATATTAATTTTGAGGGCGCCAGACAGACGAGGCAGCACAACCACTCAAGAAACGACTCATGTCGACGAAAGCGCTCATACCTGGGAACTCCCAGCGGGCTCTCTCGACGGCTCTCAACGCCTTGAGCGCTTCGCGGTCGCCGAGGGCTTCACCGTCAACGTCATCTATGAGTTTGTAGGTGGGGATTCAACTGGCGATACTCTCTACATTGTTCTCGACAAATTTGCAGTGTATTTAGCATTTAAAGAAAGCTCGAAGGGCTCGCTGCTATCCAAGAACTCGGTCGCCAGCTACTTTGGCAACGTCAAGAACCACCTACTCGAGCTGTTTCCAGCTTTAAGTGCTGTATCGGGTCGTCGGCTGCAAAAGATTGCGTCATTCCTCGACAAGTACTGCTCCAAGCGAGGCACAGACTTTACGCACCAGGCCCCACCGTGCACGAAAAGCGACCTGCGCTCGCTCAGCTTAGCGATATTGAAGGGGGCTGTATCTGTGCAGGACTACCAGGATGCAGCCCTTCTCAACATTCTTTGGTATTTGCTGGGTCGGTCTTCAGACACTGTGTCTCGTGAAAACCAGGTCGCTGTTTACCCTGGTAAGTACTTGTCTTTTTATTTTTCCTAATTTGGTTTTGACCTTGTGTATTTTTAATCGTGGTACACAGGTGGGTGTCTATTTATCACCTTTAAGCGCATGAAGTCTGCCTCGTATCAAGGAGCGTCGATTTCTCACGACCCAAACGATTTTTCGTCTTGCCCAATTCACGCACTAGCTTTGGCTACAATTATGGAGTCGACTCCAAGCGAGTTTCTCATGGATCAACTTCCTCGGGATACACAAGAGCTCCTGCCGACTGAATTTGGCGAAACACCGCTCCGCGAACTACTTGATGCGCGGACCAGGTCCCCAGCAACCTCCAACCCTGAGTCGCCGACCCCAAAAGCACCTGCGAAAAAAGCGACAGTCCCCGGAATTCACGCGTATGTTAATCGCGTACTGCAGAAGTGGAGTGGTGTCTGCCAAACCGAAGGTACTAACCTGACGCCAGGGCTATCATCGCATTCATTTCGGCGTGGAGCTGCTCAAAACGCGAATAGTGACAGCAAAATCAGCACACCTTGGATTCTAGACCGTGGAGGCTGGAGCATGAGTGCTGTGAGCAAAGCGTTCAATTATATTGTTGGCACGACGCAGGAAGATCAAACCGTCGGCAAGTCGTTAGCTGGATGAGATTTAAAAGCTAGTCCGCGGATACCTACACTGGACGACTTCGATCCTCTGGTTCTGCATCGAATTCGCCTACTTCAAGACCGGCTTTTCTCGGCTGCGAAAGGGTTCACGGAGAGACTCAGCTTGCGAGATGATGTAGTGGACGTACTTACCGCCACCGCCATTCTCCACTACCCCGACATGCTTCGGCTTAGGCCAGAGTCACTGTACATCAAACGGGTTCAAGAAGCACTAAGTCAGGTACAGGCGACAGAGGCTGAAATTGCTGCATGGTCAATGGCTATTCATCGTACCTTACAGCCGTCCAAGAACGACACTCCACGCAGTCCGGCACCACGGCGTGTTGAAGACGACGAACTCTTGCGGAGGCAAACCTTGCTCTTGGAGCAGCAGGCGCAGATCCTTGGAGGGCTAGCAGCCGAAGTGAAGGCATTGAACCAGCGGGTGCAGCGGCTTGAGCACCCATCGGACGTAACCACCGCTCCGTCGACAACAGCAGCTGGTAGCCTGGCGAGCTCGTCCAGCGCTTTGTCGGATACTGCAAGCGGCGCGGCAACTCGTGCGCATTCGCGTGCGAAGCCACTCGCGACTGTGTGGTATGAGTGGTTTCTGCCCCCGTTGCCAAGCGCGCGTCCAAACCGGCGGCGCTATCACGAGTGCAAGGTGGCCGTGGCCTTTATGCGGGGTTTTCTCCCAGCCGGATACAAGGTGATCGGAGATGAGGTCACAGCAAAGGACGCATCCTGAGCTCAGGGCGGGAGGCCGAGGCAAACGTTCTTGCTTTCCTGGAGGCTGAGAACGTGAAAGCAAAGTCGCATGGCACAATTGTTAAGGTTTTGAAGCGGATGTATGCTCAAGGCAAGCTAGACGACCGCATCAGGAATTACCAGCGACTTCAGCAGGAAGGCAAGGCTCTTGAAGATGCACCGGTGCATGTTCTTGAGCCCTACAACAATCACAGCACAACGTAATTGTAGTCGCGATCCAGTGTTAGGTCCCAACACAGTTACATCATACATAGATTCATTCACCCATCTCGTTATCTACTTACATGAAGTGAGTGTCACAGTAGGTGTCCGCCGTAGGCATCCCTCTCATGTCGTCGACTCCGCTGTTGGCCGCCACCTCCACCACCTCCTCGTCCTCCTCAGCCCGCTGCTGCTGCTGGCCTCGACGGCCGCCACCTCCACCACCTCCTCGTCCTCCTCAGCCCGCTGCTGCTGCTGGCCTCGACGGCCGCCACCCCGCCCGAGGACCAGCCGCAGTACGACCCGGCGACCCGCACGGCGCCGACATCCCGCACGTCTTGCTGCTGTTGGCCGCAGTCCCCAAGCCGTTGTCCACTAACCAGCCGCTGTATGACAGAGGATTGCGAAAGATTTTATGTGCACCACACTTCACGGAGCATTTAATAGCATTTAGTTTTAAAGGTTGTCCGAATGTCCGAGCCGTCCGAACCTGCACGGTATGGTTGCTTTTAGCCATTCTGAGACATGTATGGTTGCTTTTAGGGATTTGAAAAATTACGAGCGTAATTTAAATGTCTAAATTACCATTAAGCCCTTAGGTACGCAAATCACGCTATAGTGCGCTTCTGATTAGGTGCGATGCCATTAAGTGCGCCACCTCACAGCCGCTCATTTTAAGAATCGCGCTGCCGAACGGAGGCCACGTGGGGCACGCACCTCTCGCGAATCAGTCAAGCACCAAACGGCGAGGGGGGACCGATGGCTCCTGCGGGGGGAGCCATTATAAACGGTAATCAGTATGCTCCATGTTAGTGGCAACGAGAGTATCTACGTGCCTCACATTTTGTTTGAATTCTGTCGGTATGTATTGTTTAGGCCGAAAGCTGCGGAACGTAAACGAGGAGCTAAACTACATGTACGCCGCTCTCGGGATTGAAAAAGACGACGACGAAGACGAAGACTTTGTTCTGGATGAGGAGGATGAGGAAGACAACGGCGACGAAGAGGCGGAGGATTGCTACCAAGAGGAGGAAGACGAAGAAGAGGTCGATGATGACGAGGAGAGCAATAGCGATGAAGAGGAGGGTGACGAGGATGAAGAGAAGGCGAGTGACGATGAACAGGAGGCAGACGACGACGGAGAATCCAGCACAGAAGACGAAGCAGAAGCGGGTAAGACTCGTTTGGATTATTGTTGATACTTATTGAGTTGAACTGATAATGTATTGTGTATTTTTTTAGTTTGTTTAGAACGCAGGACACGCAAACAGAGCCCCGCGTCGAGAAAGAAAGCCACAGCACGCAAGAAAACACCAGGTATTCTCGTTAAAGTTGCTTTAAGCAAAAAGGTTGCGCTATCATTAGTATTGACATTCACTTTGGAATCGATAGATACCGCTCTGGCCAAATGCAAGCTTTCTGCTGGGGATGAAGCCCAATCTTTCGCGAAAAAGCGTAAGGCGGAGCTGCAGCTTCACGAGTCTGTCGACGCTGATTCGGCCCCACGTTTATCCAAGCGGAACAAGCAGTACATACCGCGGAAGCGATCAAGCAAGCACCTTGACGAGTTGCGGGAGATCAACGAGGAGCGCGAAGAAATTATCAACCCCGTTCCGCCCTTTACCCAGCGATTATCAAGAGTTGGAGCAAGTTCAGCGCACACTTGAAAATATACAAGCAGAAGCACCACCTCAAGTTTTGAGTACGAAGCTCGGAGACACGAAATCAGTACAACAGGTATGTGTGACCTCTGTTTGATGAGAAATTTAAGTTATTATCGAAACCCCCTTTCATATGCAGCAATCATCGGGACCAAATCCCTTCACGTTTTAATTGGAGTCACAAGGTCCTCCGCTGTACACACGGTGTTTCGCAAGCGTCGCGCTCCAAGGGACATCGCAATAGAAAAGGCAACTATTGCGGGTGTCCTGCACGCATGACACCAACCGTTCAGCGGATGGAAAATGGCAAATTTCGAATTGTCATAAGAAACGAGGTATCTGCCTTTTCGTGTATTTGTTTGCTTTGTTAGTATTTCTCACATGTCGCTGTTGATAATCAGAACTTTACCCACACGCACCCGACCACCCGAACGCAAGCATCGTTGTACCTGACAACAAAGACACTTCCGTTGGACGAGCAAGATCTCGAAGATGTTAAGACTTTAACGGATGCTAGTGTTTCTTCCAAGCACATCACGAACCTCCTGAATGAGAGAATCGGTGCGTAGTTTTATATATGATATGCTGAAGTGATACTTACGTTACTGTTCGCGCTTTGTGTGTTTGCTAGGCTGCAAAATAACACCTCAACAGACCCGTAGTCTGATCCGCAGTATTATGGGGCACGACGCAGCGGAGGCCCGTTTGAAAGACATGCTGCAAGCTATCCGCCAGTTAGACGGTAGTGACGTCCTTGTTATTCAAGACCAAATGGACGTGACATGCGGTATCGTGATGCAAACAAATGTGCAGAAGTTGATGTTCGAGCGCTGGGGCGACACTCTTACGATGGATTTCACTCACGGCACGAACAATTTGGGCTATCACTTGGGTGCGTATGAGTTGTTCGGTATAGCAACTTTATCTTTGTTACGGCAACCTTGCGTAGTTATTGCAATCATATCGATGATATAGCAACCTTATTAACAAAGTGATTTTCTACTGTTGTGTGTTGGATATTTCAGGGAGTCTGGTCGTCACAACCGCTACTGGTAGAGGGTTCCCAGTTGTAGACTGCATATGCCTCAACCAACGAGCTCCGATGATGACAACAATCCTGGAGTATTTCCAAGAGAAGAACCCAAGTTGGCGGATGATATCCTCCATTGTGATCGACAAAGATTTCGTTGAGTGGAGGGTGCTGAAAACACTATTTCCTGCTGCGAAAGTTTTACTTTGTCAATTCCATGCCATTTCAAACTGGAAGAAGGTAATGCAGCGGGCCCCATACAAGCTGAAGGTGTCTGAACGCGACGAGTTACTCAACCTGATGATAAAAACGCTGTACAGGTACGCAACAGGTTCTATTTATGATTCTTGTGGTAACGCTAACTTTGGAAAACAAACCATATGCAGCTCCACAGAGACAGGTTACGATTCTAGTTACGGTGCATTGAAGCAATACTGCGAAGACAACAAGAAACAAGCTTTATTCTCGTACTTTGAAAAGAACTGGGATTCGTGTCGAGACATGTCGGCGAACTTTGCTCGCAGCAAATTTTTCACGACTGGGAATACTACAACGAACAGGATCGAGTCAAACTGGAATCAAGTGAAAATACTGTTGGGGCACAAGACACGAATTGACAAGACTATTGCGGGCTTGGTGCAGCATCAAACCATGATAACTCAGCAGATCGGGTTCGTCATCGCGCAGCACCATTCGACTTCGCCCGTTCCTAAAACCATACCGATGTTTCTCCGGACGGTAGCAACTCGACTGTACCCTGACATCTTCGAGAAAGTGGGAACGATTTGTGAACTTCGTGGCAGATGCGACTTGTGAGCGTACAGCGTCGAGTCCTTCACAATGGAAAATTTATTGCGGGAATCAAACCTTTCGCTGTCACGATGTGGAGTGGACGTGTACTTGTCTATTTTATAGCAGTCACCATTTACCATGTCGTCATCTTATGCACTTAGCACGCGAGGGGCATGGCTTCAAACTGCTTCCAGCTATGGCAATTCATGATCGGTGGAGTACGTACCAGACCTTGGAAGTGAAAAACGAATTGACGGCTGCAGCGGAAATGTTACAGCCAATTGTGCAGATGTCGAAGTTAAGGTTGCCGAAAGTAAAGTTGCCGAACGACACTGGGGCTGTACCAGAACAACCACTGTATGCTGCGGGGGGTAACGCTTCGCCAACCAAAGCTAGGAAGCAAGTTGCGTATGTACGGCTACGGCGAGGTGAACGGGCAAACCAGGTTGTATTGTCTTCAGCTGAAAAATACGCATACGCAAAAGCGATGCTGGAACCGCTATTGGAACACCTGTCAGATTTGTCTAGTGCAGACTTCTACCAAGAGCTAAGTGCTTGGAAGGAAACGATCGACATAGGGCTCAACCGTGTTAACCCTGCCCCCAACCGAGTTCTACAGAATCTGCTGAAGATAGCAAGCAAGAAGAAGATGTATCTGAACCTGTCTCAGACTCCATTCTGGACCCCGTGGAGGCAATGGGGACTATGACGCTCATGGACGCATTGGAAAGCAGCCCCATGTCCATGAATTATGGCGATTACGAGTCCGACGAAAGTATGTTACCGACACAACGCACTCACCTTTCGCAGTCATCTCCAATTCGACCCCCCATCGACGAGAAATCTCATGACAGCTGCGGAATGAGTAGCTGTGACAAGGTTTCAAGCTCTACGGAGCCTGACACAGAGTCGCGCGTGCGCCAGGTCGATGTCGTTAGAGTTCCTAAGCCACCAAGCCAAGGAAAGTCAAGGTCAACTCCGAAACAGCTGAGGCAAACTACGATCAGTCTCAAAGCCGACCGTCTTGCTGTTCACAAGTACCACTGGACTTGCCGTGACTTTGGATCAGTTCCTGATTTGGGCCAGAAACACCTCAAATCTGAAGCGGGTGATGGAGATGCTGTCGAAGTATCCTGTTCAGCTGGAGGATGCCTATCTAAGAGCTCGGAAGATTGATTGTCATTGGGAAATTGTACGACCTGCGGACTACATGCACACATTTGTAATTCCACAAGACCTCGCGCTATCAATGCAGGCAGCAACGACTACTACCCGGAAGGAGAAGCAGCCAATTGTACTGGATGAAAAGGCCAAGAAGCAAGGACTTGTTCTCGACGTCGTCTTGGCGATTGATCCAAAACTGTGGAAATTTAGCGGGTATGGTTGCTTTAGCGATATGGTTGCTTTAGCGATATGGTTGCTTTAATAGGGTTGCTTTAACATGCTTATGTTTCTAGACAATATGTAGGTGCTCTAGCAGGATTCTACGCGATCAAGGCGAAGTAAGTGTACCTCATGGTTGAAGGACCGAAAGTGGCTGGAGCAAGATTGGCGTAAAGTTGACTCCATCGTGGATCTTTTCGCTGCGGAGACAGCAACTGCAGGACTACCGCGTGATGCTGTTCCCGAGCGGCACCAAGGTCTAGCGAACGAAATTATCTCAAAGTTTACTTCATGTCGGCTACGCACTGAATTTGTGACGCTCTCCAGCAAAGTCCTGATCAGCTTTGACAACATCGTGGGAGGGATCTGTCGTGGATGGCTAAATGATAGCCCTGTGGACTTTTGCTTGGAGACCCTTGCGAGATCGGTGGGGAAGTGCCATGTGCTGTCATCACTGACATGGGCTATCGGATGGCCAAGTCTCCCTAAGACAGCACTTGCAGCAACGAATTTTATTATCCACCCCGTTAATCTGCACGCAGACCACTGGGGGGTAATTATCCTTCGCCTACGCTACACGGCAAAAACAAGCCAGTTTCGGGTGCATGTTTGCATGTACGAGCCGCTCATTGATGATGACTATCACCATGAAATGGAAAGCGTGTGGACTGGAATTCCGAAAGACAAAGAAAATGAAGGAAAGGAGGGGCTTCGTGGTTATGTGGAGCGGTGGCACAAGGCTTCTGACCCCCGTGGCCATCTTTTCTTCGATCCGATTGAGTGGATCTGTGCCCCTCAACAACCTGATTTTGCTAGCTGTGGTAGCCCAAGCCCACAGCTATCTTACGGGGAACTTGCAGATGCAACTTTCTAGAATTCCAAGAACGACGTCAAGGTGATGCGATTGAAAATGCTGTGGGTCATCATGTGTTACTCCCAAGAACGTCATCTCTCTGAACGCGACGTCGCTAAAGCTAGCCAGATTCATCAGCAGCTACAGACCCAGCTCTGAGAAACACCACAGTCTGTATTTACCTTTAAATACAGAGTCTATGCTGCATTAGTCTTTCATTTTTCGCACCACCAGCTCCAGTAGAACATCGAGGGAAACAGCGTCGTCCTCTGCGGTGAGACCACCTTGGTCGGCCCCTTCATCGCCCAAGACGGCTGCTAACGCATAGCTGTTCTCTTCGCGATCTTCGACGAGGGCTTGGATTTATAGCTGCGCTGCCAGAAGCTTTTCTAGATGCTCGGTAAGCTCATCCAGCTTCTTCTTGAGGAGTGCAATCTCGGCGATTCTCGCGCGCACCAGCTCATGTGCCAGCGATTTCTTCCCCATTTTTGCTGTCGCTCAAAATCTGCTAAGTGTTGAAAATGTGGTACACATATTGTCATGTGTTTCACGTATTGCTGTGTAGAGAACATCAGTTAGACGCCACCACGACGTGTCTAAATTTAGAGATATATGTAGCAAGACCATGACGAGGGCGACATGTCCCTGTCATTTACGCGCCTTTCCCGCAGTCCGTCGCCGCGCACCTTTCCATTCACGATCGCAATGATTGCTGTCGTATGTGGCGCTGCCCTCGCCGTTCAAGCACCTCCATCTCTCGTCTTCTGCTACGCTCGTCAACCGCGAAGCTCGAAGAGGGCGCTCAGCAGTGCCGCGAGGAACAGGCGCCGCTCATGCTCCATACACTGGTGTCGTGTGGTTTTGCCGGCCGGGGTGACAGCTTGCGCTCGAGTCTTTTTTTGCAGGATGAGACTGTGGCCTAGTGGCCACTCGTGCTTTGTGGGTGAGACCCTCCCCTCTCTACCACCTGCAACCGTACCCACAGACAACAAACCTAAGCCTGTGCATTCGGTTCTTTTTTGTAAATATAATATCTTACTTTCACTATATGAGATCTTAGGATCTGCCTCTATACAAACACTAAGTATAATTGTTCCTTATGTTGGAGGTCCAACATACCAGAGACGCTGCGAAAAAAGTGAACTAGGGTTTACACCGCTTATGTAGTACCGTACAACATACGGTAACTAAGGGGTTAAACTACCAGCTGCAAACTTCATCCAAAGTGCTTACTCCTAACACGATGCCCTAAAAGATGAAACCATGTTATTAACATTGAACTGAGGGGATGAGGAAACGTTCCTAGCCCTATCTGATGTGCCTCAAAGCTCGCAGGTGTTGGCATTCTTATCGTCTCGATGCATAAGCCCGCGCGTAATCGTTGCCGAACCTCTCTGCAAAACCCCACACAGCTTGGTGGACACGCGTGATAGTATGCCGAGCTTCTACAAGTCGACCCTTGGCTCGGAAATGGCTGTCTTATCGAATGCCGTGGGCACGCTATCATACAAGTCCATAAGATGCCGAAGTCTCAGTGCTATTTGTAGAAGGGTAGTTACGCCAATGAGCGAAAGTAGCTTTATTGTTTGTTCAAGTTCCTCGGTATTTACTCTGCACGGCATATTTACGTTGTGATCATTGAGTTGATCTAATAACCTGGGATTTGCATGTGCACTAACGCAGGGCAGCGTAAGTATCACTGGTGTTATATTGTAGCTTTGGCTCCACCGATATCTCACCGTAGTGCATTCAGGTGCACTTACGCCGCGTAGCGTAAGTATCACTGGACTTATATTGTAGACGTGGCTTCACCGATATTTCACGGCAGTTCTTTCAGTTCTTCCAAAACGTGGGCTGATGCGGCCTGTGTAAGGCATGCGTGGACGGACAGACGCCGCACTTCGCATAGTGAGCAAACGCTGCACTCATGTGGGTGAACAAACGTAGCACCCGAGTCGGTGTACAGACGTAGCACCTCCAGTACAGACAGCAATTAGAAGTCTCTTTTCTGGACGAAATGTCTTTGATCGATGGAGAATATCCCAACAATTTTTATCCTTAAAATAAGGACAGAAACAAATCTGGCGGCCTCGATTTTGGGGCGATTTTGTCCTTAACTGGCAGGTTAAGGATATAAACTATCTTAGCATTTGTATACACGCACGTAGGTACGGTCACAGACGGCCGACAGTGGATTCGCATTGGACGCGAAGGGTCGCCGACGGTTTCACTTGTTTCTACTATTGGCCAAACTATTTTTGTCCTTAACTGAAGGATAAACTCGAAAAAGCGATACAGAGGGTGGCGCCTTAGAGAGACACCTGATATATTCATCATAGACGGGGATTTGAGTTTTGGGGGTTGGGGAATAGAGAATTAGTATGCAACCCTATGAATTGATAGTAGTTATTAGAGGTGATCAGTTATATGCCGTCCCTCTAAGGCGCCACCTTCTGTACGCTCCGAGTGACCTTTTTGGTCGAGCTGCTGCGCAAAGGTATCACAACCCTAGCGCATACAGGCCCCACCCTCATTTAGACCGAATACAGACCTTTCTATACATACCTGTCACAGCTTCTTACGTGTAAAAATGAGGTCAAACGGGTTGCCTCAAATTTCGTCCTTATGTTTATCCTTAAAAAAATCTTGTTGGGGATATGGGACGGTGCTTTTCTTTCTTTGACGGGACGGATTTTGCATTTTAGTAAAATTCAAAATAGTGATGGGGACGTAAACGACGTTAACTTTTACCTATCATATAGTATATGCTGTATGATAGGTTTTTGGCGAATTTTGCTGTTTTGCAATAGCTAGTGTAAACGTATGCTTGTCATAACTATGCATCTGGCGTTAAAATTACGAAACTCGTACTAGAACTATATCAAAACCAGAGCTCACTTTTTGAACCTATGATATAGAGTACGCCGAATAATGGGTTTTCAGTTAACGTCGTTTACGTCCCCATCACTACATTTTACACTCTA